CGAGGGGAACAACGTGGAGGTCGATCTTATAAGGTATGTTGCTAGTAATGAGGCTATTTGACCCCATTACTAACAATCCCTTTTCCCCGCCTACACATAAAGTGTCAATGACCAATTAATCTATGTACTATATTTACTAGAAAATAGTTTTTATATAAAAAAAATTATATAGATTTTTTCATGATTATGAGATACTAGCTATTACTCGCGACTTCGTCCGCGTGGCCGGGATATGTTACCATATATGATTGCTTTACGCTTCAACATTTTTTTTTTACAACACAGGGGGCAAACGAACATGCGGCTCACCTGATGGTAAGTGACTACCGCCGCCCATGGTCACCCACAACACCTACGGCATTGCAGGTGTGCTGCCGGCCTTTTAAAAAGGAATATACTCTTTTCTTGAAGGTTATGTTGTCGTATCGGTTCGGAAATACTGCTGCTGGAAGTTGATTCCAATATATCTGATGGCAAGGAATTAGACTGGCTCCCTGCCAGCACCGGCCCACGTAGTAGCCACGGACCTCCCTGGCCGGGATATGTTTTTTTTTAATGGATGATAATGGAATGGTACCCCACCCGTGCTATCGGTATACACCGGCGGGGCACCAGTGAAAGATGATAGGTGAGGATGAAGTAGGTCATTTAGCCCATCGTGACGAATTCAACAAGAATTGTTCACGATGGTTTCCAGGGGGAACCACGTGGAGGTCGACCTAATGAGGCATATTGCTAGCAATGGGGCTGTCAAACTCCATTGCTAACAATCCCTTTCCCCCCGGCCGGGATATGTTATCCCCTAGATAGTTACTCCCTAATCAGGATCATCCCAGTCTATATCCTTTTCCATCCCATTTGATACGTGTGTAGTGATTGGTTAAGATGTTAAGGAGCTATAAAGTAATAAACACACTTTCACATTTAAAATTTTATACATTACTTTCCACTAGGTAGGTCACTAGATTTTTTTTGCTTGCAGCTTGTTGCTCAAAATTCCATTCTTACCTACTGATATGAATGCACAAACAAAAATACACTCATATTTTTTCTACGAAAAAAAAAACTACTTCTGTTGTCGCAAACCCAGTTAGTTTGATTTAAAAACTAATTATTAAACCGATTTTGTTAAAATTTCCATTGGTTTGTCCAATGTAAGCATAACCTTTTAGGTAAAAAAAAATACAATTCGGTTTACAATTGACGGAGTTATGAGGTAACAAACTTAAATATACAATCTGAGAACCTTTTTTGGGGGGAAAGGGATTGTTAGTAATGGAGACTGAGAATCCCATTGCTAGCAATATACTCAACCAGGTTGACCTCCTCACGGTTCCCCCTGGAAACTACCATGGTTAATTCCTGATGAATTCATCATGATGGGCTAACTGGCCTGTTTTCATTCTCATCTATCACCCTTCACTGGTGCTCCGCCAGGGTATACCATTTTCACCCATGAAAAAAAAAACTGAAAACCTTTCCTTTTTGACGTCGATTGAAAATATACAAATGCAAATAAATAACACAACTAGCTTTATTTTGTTTGAAAAGTGGTATAAAGGATGGTACATAATATTTAAATATTGTTCACACTCTTCACCAGAATCTGGTGTAGGTACAAAATTCATTTAATTGTACTACTATGCTATGCTACTACAGAGAAATTGTACTGCATTAAAAAATATCATAGATATCTTCTTGTAAATACCTATTGGCACTTAAAGAATCGTGCCTTATCTTTACATGCAATTAGTCATTGCCGGATTCCATAAACTAATTAGCTATTTCAAAATAATTTATAAGCAACTGAATGTTTTTTTATGCAATATAGAATGACAAACAAGCTGACGGTCCACCTGATGGAAAGTGGTAACCGTCGCCTATAAACATGAGCAGTAGCATGGACATAACAGAGTATACTGTTTCGTCCATGATACCCCAACACCTGAGTACTGTAAATTCACTGTATCCTGTAAATTCACTGTATCCTGTAAATTCACTGTCATATCCCACTCTTCAAATCTAAACACAGCCATGCAAACACATCTGCTACACGGTTGAAACACGAATGGGACAGAGGTACCCAAGCAATCGACTTTTGTACAAAGTCTCCCTCTAGTAAACCGTGTAAGTCTCAGTCTTGAATTTTTTATAATCCTTAGCCAGTATTTCTTTTCTCCGAATAAAAAACGCAGTGATGCTAAAAAACACATGGTTATGTAACTAAATATCAAAAATAGATTTAACAGAATATTAATAATCGATTTTAAAATACTTAGTAATACAGAAAAAAATATTATTAACTTATACATATATGACAGTATAAATTGTTTATGTGTAACAACTACCTATCAAAGCTATGTAGACACTAGAGTTGCGTTGAATAATCAATGAATACCTGTTTATCCATATTGTATATACGTGCTTACAGCTAGGTAAAGACATGAGTCAATATCCGTTGATACACTCACTTCAACAGAGGGCCATCTTTCGGAACGTATTTGTACTTATACGTAGGTATGCAACATGTCAATTTTTTTTTATACAACTTAGAATGGCAAACAAGCTGATGGCCCACCTGATGGAAAGCGGTAACCGTCGCCTATAGACATGAGCAGTACCATGCACATAACAGAGTATACTGTTTCGCCCATGATACCCCCATGCGTTGCCATTCCTGAGTACTCAGGTGTTACTCCTCTGTACCCTGTAAATTCACGCCATATACCACCCTTCAAACCGAAACGTACAACATTTCGTTTCAACACCAGGAAATATGTCTGCCTGCTGTCATCTTTTAAAATATTACATTAAGTATTAATTAGGTTTAATTTAATGGTACATTACATATTTATTATTTCATCATCGTCATTATTTCAGCCATTATCCGTCCACTGCTGGACATGAGCCTTTCCCATAGACTGCCATAAAAAACGGTCCTGAGTCACCAATATCCACTGACTCCCTGCAATGCAGATATTTATTATTTATTTATGCTTCATTGTACAATTGTTTTTTTAATAATAAATACAGTTATTTTTTATGAGAAGTGATACAAAAGGCGGCCTTATCGCTAAGCAATCTCTTCCAGACAACCTTTGTGTAAACGACATTGAAAGAAAAGACAAAGAGTAGGTGGCATAGATATGAACATATACATACTAATATATACAAACATATACTAATACATACATAAATATATATAAAACATACTTCATGAAGGAAGAAGATGGAGAGAAATCACAGGTTATTTACCTGTACTTAAAAGGAGAAATCGTAGGACTTAACGGAAATTTTAAAGCCAACGAAAATTTGAGCGCATCGAATAGAAGCAAGTAGTGAGTTCCACGAACGAACTGCCTGGACAGTAAAGGATTTAGAAGAAAAGGGATTTAGAATAAATGAATAAATAAATAAATGGACAGGAAATTTAAGGCTCACATATATATGCATTTAATAAGCAGTAAGATGTTTTTATGACTTTATACTTGACGTTTATACCCATTCTATCTGAATCAATAGGCTTTAGAGGGGGAAAGGGATTGTTAGTAATGGAGACTGAGAATTCCATTGCTAGCAATATATACAACCAGGACGACCTCTTCGCGGTTCTCCCTGGAAACTATCATGGTTAATTCCTGATGAATTCATCATGATGGGCTAACTGGCCTGTTTTCATTCTCATCTATCACCCTTCACTGGTGCTCCGCCAGCGTGTTCCGTTAGCGCAAGCGAGGTTACCATACCATTTTCACCCATCAAAAAAAATAGGCTTTAGAACCGGCATGCATGGATGAGATTAAAAATACAAAGTTTACGGGGCAAAAAATGTGTGTAAAAATAGAGAGGCCTTTGGAATCCGATTCTCTCTGCTCTCTTCAAAATATTTGTCATAAAGATAGATACTTAGACAGCAGACGTTAATGAAATAAAGAATAAAAATCCTGGCACAAACTTAAAAAAGATCGCATTAACAGTATCAGAGGAGCGGTAATTTTTTTTTTAAGAGTATGTTTTCATCTTGTCTGCTACATCTTTGCACAAATAACAATTAATATACTATTATTTTATTATTGTATCTACAATAGATTAATCCACAAAAATAAAACGTAACAGGAAATATTAAAAAAAAAAACTGATATTAAGTACATAGTTATTATGATTAACATACCTAATAGTAAATAAAAACCTACTCTGTATAAATAAAAAAATAAGGAAAACTTTTTAATGTTCGTGCAGAACATGGAACGTAGATATATTACTCATTCATATTTTATTAAACGTGACATATGTCGTTGTTTACATTATAAAACAAATTAAACAATATTTTCTTTGAGTAAGTACACGTCAAATAATACGCTACTACAGTACAATATCGATAAACTTGGAATTCCAACATTATCAGTTTAGAAAAAATAACATAACGAGAATATATGGCAGTTTAACTACGTGCCTACCTAAGTATTTTATCTTTACAAAATTACGAAACAATAAAATTCACTGACACTATGTATACCTACCTAGTGAAGATCAGAACTATATATTCATTGTTTACATACGTGTTTAAGTAGTAAATTTAAATTTTAAATTTATGCAGTACTGATCAATAACAGTTTTCTTAAAGACTAGCAAGTATGCTATAATTAATGATATTAAGTCCGTCTTTTACACTTTATATTTACAATGTGGTCAATAAATAATAAGTAGACAATCGCTGTACAATTACAATATTTATATTATTCATTTTAACAATATTTTATTAAGTATATAATATATAATATATTACATAAAAGTACTTGTCCAACCAATGAACTTCAACGTATTCGAAGAACTCAAAAAATTTGCAATACAATTACATATATACCTGACATGTTTGTTGAACAAGGCAAGGGTTGCTTTTCGTGCAAATCCGTATCGATTCGTAAATAGTCGTATGTTCCATCCTTTTCCCACTTATTGAATCATTCCATTCGCCGCCCCTATCGAATTTCTTTACGTCATTCACATTTCTGATGCTCAGTACATAATTTTATGTCTGCGTGTACTGTCGTGTGTCTAGTGATAAATCATCGGTGTATTTTTGTAACTCAATTGTTAAAATACATATATTTCTATTGAAAGTAGTGAGAACACTTAATTAAAATGGCCAAGGTAATATAAATTTTCATGTGACGTCTTCGGTGCTTAATTTTTTGAAAGTTTTTGTTGTAAAATATTTTTTTCTGCATCGTGTATTATCGTACCACTCCGTGACGTACTTCGTTCAGATAACTAACTATAAAATGAAATTTTAATCACTGATGAATCAGTTGATGAATGTACCTATTCTAATCTGTATCATTATAAAAAATAATAACAATAAAAAACTTAAATCATTAATTTTAGTTAACTTTAATATGTAATAAAAACACGAATAATGGTGTAAAGTAATAATTTGCACTTACTAATAATTCATAGTTCATTAGCAAAATAAGAAGATGCAAATTGACCGACTAGCTATAATAAATACTTATGTCTAATATTACGTTGTTAAGTGAACAATAACAAAAACAACGCATCTATATTTATTAAGTATTTATTTATAAATTGTAGCGTACAAATTTAATTTAATTTTAATTCGAGCATTTTAGCATTATAAAAATATTCCAATACACGACTTATGAAAAGTGAAAATGAAATGGACATTTATAATAAAGTAAAAAAATTCTTTCTTACTCTTTATATAGTTCTATATTATTTCAACAACATAATACGTGTATTTAAATATTTGTACTCGGATTCTGAAATAGGCATTTTCATATTCTAATAATAGAACAAAGTTGGAGATATATTACCTAATAGGGCAACATTTTTCAAATATGGATCAATAATCTGTACTGTGAATGAAGAAAAAAACTGTCAATGTCATTGTCATAATTAATCTTATTGGAGTCTAAACCCTATTACTGTTTTTTATTTTTTAATGTCTTTTTCAATTAAAAATCTATTAATTAGAGCACGTAATAGTTACAAAAATTTTGTAGAAATGAATAGGAATAGCTACTGGGTAAGTTCCGCTCGATCATTAGACACTTATCTAATTATTCTGCTTTGATTAATTTGTACTTTTCCGTACCTAATCTTGTATTTTATATGCAGTTTGTCTTTTAATTACGTTGTAAATATTTTATGCACTATTACTTACTACAGAAAAATACTTAAAATTCCATTCTTATTAAATATTTATAGTAAATATATTGTAAAAATTATATAAAGAGGTATATAGGTTACTTTTTCCTACTCCTTTCTTAGATTTCGTTTTACAACGTATCTCGTGTAGATAGTATTATTAAAACTATAATTAGACACGTTGGCTAGCCGCCAGCAGGTGAAACTCTTTCATAATAACTGACAGTTGCATAGTTACTAGTAGTATCTGACGAAATTTTCGACTTCGGTTTTGTTCGAATTTCTAGAATTTTTGGTAGAAAATTAACCAAACTACGGTCAAGGATTTTTCTATATCGGTTAAACCTGACAGGCATTTTTGAGGGATTTTTAGGTAACTCCGCCTATGGTAACAGTTTACACTCGGGGGGGGGGGGGGTGATTATTAGTAATATAGACTATTAGTCCCATTGCCAGCAATATACTCTGTCAGGCTGACCTCCACTTGGTCCTCCCCAGGAAACTATCATGCTGAATTCCTGGTGTATTTGTCATGATGGGCTAACAGTCCTGCCTTTTCTTCTCACCTACTTATTACTCACTGTTGCCCCGCCCGTGTATACCGTTAGCATAGGCGTGGTTACCATTCCATTGCCATCCATTAAAAAAGAACAGTATATGCTAGCAGAGTACCAGTGAATGACAGTTAGTCCATCATGATGAATTTACCTGGAATTAAGCACAATTGGTTTCCAGGGGAACTGCGAGGGGTTTCACCTGGTAGGAGATATTGCTAGTAATGCAGCTACTAGTCCTCATTATTAGCAATTCCTTCCCCTCTGGGATTTTTATGGTTGCCCCTGGTAATATAATGTTTAGTAGTTCTATCTATTAGTCTATGATATATCTCAAGTAGTTTGTTTGTCTGGTAATCTTGGTCAGAGACTAGGTAAGCTATTTTCTTTGATAGGGCCTTTGTATTCAACAAAAGTTTTTTTTTTTTTTACCTTTTTTCTTTAATATAGAATTATAATTTTTTAGGTGCCCCTAATTGCAAATTCTTTTGAGACAATTTTGACTGGAAATCTAAAAATCTTGACTTTACCTTCTTTTTGGATTCAGTTTTAGTTCTAATTGGATTTCAGTTTTGATTCTCAGTCTGGCCAATTCAGATGTCAACCTTTAATAAATCTAAAGTTTGGATGTTCACCTGGTTCCTCATAACACTATTCTATCTTGAGGACCAGGCAATTGGTGTAACGTGACACATATATTTTATAATAAACAAATTATATTCTGTACTCTATGCCCGTTCCAAATTATTGGTACAATAATGTAAAGTTAAAAAATATATTCACACATTCTAAATATACAAATTGCTTCTCATACATTTGCTACATTCATTAGTAAGTTATTTGACATAATATGTATGATCCATCACGACCAGCTTGTTTGTGAGTTATTCTTTATTATTTGCCCATTACTCAAGCTCTGCCATTGAAATTTGAAGAATATGATAGAACCTTGGTTTTTTAAATAAATTAATCTTTGTTGAGGTCATCGTCTACATCTTCCTGTATAATAAATATAGAACTTAAATGCAAAAAGGTTCAATACTCTGAATAAAAATGACTAAACTATTAAATCTCCCTTTGGCTATAGAGTAAAATATTCTATAGGTATATTTAAGAAGGACTGGGTGGTACCCATCCTAGAATCCTCTATTACCTACACCATAATTCAAGTGAAGATTCACAAACATGTCTGAGGGCACCTTTTATAATTGGGCCCCTCCCCCAAGGGGGGGGTGGAATAATTTTAAATATGCTAATTAGATAGATAGATAATTTATTTGCATTACTTACAGCACACAAACAACAATAGACATAAATGCACAGTAAAAAGATAAAAAAATATATGTACAAAAAATAAAGAATAAAAAAAAAAGAAAATGCATAAAATTTGTAACAATTTTTTCCTTTCATGCGTGTGACACTAACACAAAATGGTCACAACTAAGCTTATTGCTTTGCCCTAAAAAAAGCAAAACACTGATATTCTGTTGTGGCCAAAAGTGATCTGTGAAATTTCATAGAAAAAAATAATAAAAAAAAATATAAATAAAATACATTGTGTGTGTTCATTATATTCACTATTATTTATAATTGGAATACTTATAACTTGATAGTGTGCACCAACTTACCAAATCTAATGAGCCTAAACATTGGATTTTCCAATTTACAGTAGACCTCCATTAAGACTCTAAATCCTCATAGAAAGTTAATGACTCAGTGCATTCCATTCAATCTAAATTAGTGTCTGTTCATACAAATTGGCACAGTCTTATCATACCTCTCCCATATCTATCTGAATGTTATCATAATGGCATATACTGTAACATAGATTTCGAGTGGTACTGATGATAGGAGTTTTATGCACCTCATCCAGATATCACAGCTTTATCTATATCTAAAGTGGAATTGTACCTATCGGCACCAAGTTTTTTTTTTTAAGTTGATGATTATGGAATAGTTACCCCACCTACGCTAATGGGATACACTGGCGAGGCACCAGTGAGGGGTGATAGGTGAGAATGAAAAGTCCATCATGATGAATACACCAGGAATTCACCACGATGGTTTCCAAAGGGGACCATGTGAAGGTCGACCTCATGGGGCATATTGCTAGCAATGGGACTAATAGTCCGCATTACTAATAATCCCTTCCCCCCCATCCGCACCAAGTTACAACCTCAGTGCCTATCACTATCATTACGATCCCCACTTCTAAACATAGGCCTTCCGTATATTTCGCCACTAGGGCAGTCCTTCGTCGTTGGCATCTAGGAAATCTCTCCTACACCTATGAGATCATCCATCTCAGAACCAATGAGACTGAATTAGAGTTAATACACATTACGTATTAATAACAATTAGTTGAGGTCATGTTTTCTTTTTTGATGGGTGAAAATGGTATGGTAACCCCGCCTGCGCTGACGGGATACGCTGGCGGAGCACCAGTGAAGGGTGATAGATGAGGATGAAAACAGGCCAGTTAGCCCATCATGATGAATTAATCATGATAGTTTCCAGGGAGAACCGCGAGGAGGTCGACCTGGTTAGGTATATTGCTAGCAATGGGATTCTCAGTCTCTATCTAACAATCCCTTTCCCCCCTGTTGAGGTTACGTTTGAACATTAAGTTATAGGCATAGGATTTTTTTTTTCTTTTTTTTTTTAATGAGTATTAATAAAATAGTGAAATAGAGATAATTACAAAGACCTCTGTGTCGCAATGGTGTGATTTTGTGACGTGTGCCTGATTGAAGTATTGGTACCATTCTCGGTGGGACCAATTTAGGTAAAAATTGAGAATTTAAGAAGGAAACGAACTTCTCTGAATTGACTCGGATCTGGGTGTTCTAGGGTGTGCCCCAGTATTCTGCGCAGATAATTCTGGCTTGGGGATACTTTTGTGACGCTTATTGTTATTGATTACGAGTCGTGTGAGAGTGGTGACATCTGGTGTCAATAATTTCGAAACTACCTTCATTGTACACAAAGATCTTTGACATAGTTTAGTCAAAAAAAATCTTGTCAATAGATATATCTATAAATGACTTCCTATGGTCTGTCTGGAATTCAGGTCCATTTGAACTGAATCGATATCGAGCCATTACAGCCCAGCAATTCCTCGGCCCGTGTTTGCATGGCCTCGAGAATACGGACATCTAGATAAACGGTCGCCAAAGACATTGGAAAATTGATTGATTACACAAATAAATTGGATGGGCCTATAACAGTTTTGTTGATTTCTTTTGATAGCTAATACTTTGTTTGAAAAATAACAAATTGTACTCTCTTCAACTTTTTTTGAAAAAGGGCAGATTTTACTCTTTTCAACTTTTTTTTTTAAAAACGACAGACTATACTCTTTTCGGTTTTTCGGTCGCTTTTTTGTTTGTTACCTCTAAACTCCGTTTTTTTTTTTTATAAACTAATTTGTAAAATAAGAATTTTTTTTATCTGGATATACTTTAAGATTACTCCTGTTGGAATTTCATCAAAATCGGTTTAGCAATTTAGTGGTTTCAAGTTTTTAAATCAAAATACCTGGTTTCCTCACAGATGAGAGAGTCGTTTTTTTTTATTATTAAACTAAATGTTAGGTCATTATGTTTATTTTGCATTCAGTCGTAACTTTTACGAATAACATTGACAAAGTAATAATTGTCTTAGATTGTCATTTTTTTTCTTTTTGCACATAGACAAAAGAAGTAAAATAGTTACTTTTAGATTTAAACAGAGAGTTAAGGAAAACATAAGGAAAATAAACATATAAACATGTTATAATACATAAATAATAGATAAATCATTCATTAATCGATACGCATTTGGGAAGTAAATGGTCGAGTGATAACCTTTCTTACAGGGTAACGTGGTGTAGGATGACCACCCAGTAGATAGAATAACCACCCATTGTATGTTACGATTACTACAGATATTAGCAACTTATTTTTAATATCAACTTCATAACCTTGGATTTTAAAAGGAGAAATCTAATGAAAGAGAGAGAAATAGATCACTATTGAATGCAGTATTAAAATGATACACCAGATTTTAAGTTTTTTTTTTATACAGCTTAGAATGGCAAACAAGCTGACGGCCCACCTGATGGAAAGTGGTAACCGTCACCTATAGACATGAGTAGTACCATGGACATAACAGAGTATACTGTATCGCCTATGATACTCTCCCACTCGTTGCCATTCCTGAGGACTCAGGTGTTATTCCTCTGTACCCAGTAAATTCACGCCATATCGCCCACCCTTCAAACCGAAACACAGCCATGCAAACACAACTGCTTCACGGTTGAAACACGAATGGGACAGAGGTATCCAAGTAAACGACTTTTGTACAAAGTAGAACTTTCAAAAACACATTTAAGTGTAGTCGTTTTAGCGTAATGCCGGAACAAACATATAGGAATAAGTTCTTAAAAATATTGTTTTAGTGTTTATTAAGACTCGTTATATTAATTTTCCTTAAATATTCTGATATACAGACATCGTCTAGTTATATTTTTATTATGTGTTTATTAAGATTGTATCAAATATGTACTTCCTTTTGAAAACAAATAATTTGATAAGTGATCATCGGTTATCGTTGGAAACCGTTCATTTGGTAAACAATAGATATCTATGTGAAATAGTATTTGCATGTAAAGTAATTGGGTATTTTTAGATACCTAGGTATTTTATCTTTACAAAATTACAACTGTCTCCTTCCTTTTCTTCCCCACTCCTCTCCCTCACATATGTCTCTAACCCTTCTTTGCATTATTTTTTTTATTGGTGAAACAAATTCAGGTGATATAATTCATGTTCAAAATTAAATGAAAAATGGTTAAAAAAAGAAATTTGACAGCTATGTTTCTTTTTTCTGCAATGGACATTAAAAAGGTATCCAGACACGATCAACTTAAAGTGAACTTGTTCTTTTAAATAATTTTTGAGCATTCAATGTTATGATGGAAATTTCCACTATTATGCAATGAAGGGTTAAGGTTATGTAACCTTACCATTTTATGTAAGAGTTTTTTTTAATGGATGATAATGGAATTATAACCCCGCCTGCGTTATGGGTGTATGCTGGCAGAACACTATTGAGGGATGATTGGTGAGGATTAAGCAGGTCAGTTAGACTGTCGCCGCAAATGTAATAAATCAATCATGATGATTTCCAGGGGAAACCGTGAAAGGATGACCCGATTGGGTTTATTTTTAGCAATGGGTTTGTTGATCCTTATTACTGACAATTCTTTCTCTCCCAATATATTGTTCACTATATTTGGGGATGGGAAGAGATTGCAAATATACCCTATCAAGTTGACTGCCACGCTGTTCCCCCTGGAACCAATCTCTCGTCTGCCTGGTGCCCCGTCAGCATATGCCGATAACGCAGGCGTTGGATACCATTATCATTTTTATGCAGAAGATAGCTAATCTCATTGTCATCCGAGGCTATGTGACTGCTGCCCTAGCTAACTTCATTTATGTAAATCGTATATTTTCCGACAAATGCTATTGTATCCTGCAGCATGACGTTTGCGTTGCGGAAAAAATTGGCATTCTTATTTCTGTCACTCGGCCGAAATGAAATATTTAGTCCGTAACTGTTTCGTGCTTGCTTGACATATTAGCTCGCGGTCCGCTTGATGGAAAATGTCTACCGTTACCTGTAGGGGGAAAGACTTTGTTAGATTTTCTTTTTTATACAACATAGAATGGCAAACAAGCTGACGGCCCACCTGATGGAAAATGGTAACCGTCGCCTATAGACATGAGCAGTACCATGGACATAACAGAGTATACTGTTTCGCCCATGATACCCCCCATGCGTTGCCATACCCGAGGACTCAGGTGTTATTCCTCTGTACCCTGTAAATTCACGCCATATCACCACCCTTCAAACCGAAACACAGCCATGCAAACACAGCTGCTTCACGGTTGAAACACGAATGAGACAGAGGTACCCAACAATCTCAACAGTTCCATTGCTAGCAATATAATCAAGTTGACCTCAATGTGGTTCCTCCTAAAAATTATCTTGGGTACTATTTGTTAAATTCATCGCGATGAGCTAATTGACTAAAATACACCTGTAATTCAGCACAATACTTACTAGAACTCGACTTGACTTGCTAGCAATGGTACTGATGGCATTACTAACAATCTCAAAAACTCATTACACCTCTCTCTTAATGTCGGATGTTAAAAACAACTTGCTCTGTTCCAGAAACTGCAGATGTGTGGGAATGAGGAGGAGATGAGGGAAGTGGCCGGTAGGATCTGTAGGAACTACCTGCACGGTGCTTGGAAGAGTGTGGACCCTTCACAGCTGGTGTTCAGGCGAATTAGGTGAGGAACTGGTGTTTTATATATCACAGCGTCGTAAAGCCCAAACTATGCTTGCCAACCTGCCTGCCAAGCATCGCAACTACTGGTAAAATCTCCTCAATGGTAAATTGCTATAAGGAACGCCCCGGTTCCTAGTCTATGGCGGAGGCTTTTGTGGTTGTAGGTTTTTTTTTTGACGGGTGATGATGATGATGATAACCAAATAAATTGTTCAATTTGTATAAGTAGAAGCCGGGGCTCGTTCGCTTGTAGATGTCGCGTGCTCCAAACCATAAAGGCGTAATGCAAAATTCGATTTTAGACCATACATAATTACTAGCTCATATAGTATTTAATTTAAAATTAAAATTCTACACTACATACATACATACATATCTGTCATGCCTGTCTCCCATTAGGGTAGGCAGAAACAATGGAACGCCAAATGCTTCGATTCAAACAAACCTCTTTCGCTTCCTCCACATTCATCAATCTTTTCATACACGCACGCCGGTTACGGGTACTTTTATTTTGGCCCTTCTTCAGCACGTCGCCTGTTTGGTCGACATACGTCGGCGTAGGGCAGCCCCTACCGACATCTCCATTCATTCGTGCTTGATAAATCTCTTTCGTAATTTTACATTATAAAAATACATTTTTATAGTTACATATAAATTTGCTTTAAATTTATTTATTTTAATGCATTCATATACATTTGATATGTAGCTAATATACACGTATATATTACAAAAAAAAAATATTCAAAATAAGCTTTATTTGTGTATGCTTACCAGAGGGAGACTTTGTACAAAAGTCGTTTGCTTGGGTACCTCTGTCCCATTCGTGTTTCTACCGTGAAGCAGTTGTGTTTGCATGGCTGTGTTTCGGTTTGAAGGGTGCAATATAGCAGTGAATTTACAGGGTACAGAGAAATAAATACCTGAGTCCTCAGGAATGGCAACGTATGGAGGGTATTATGGGCGAAACAGTATACTCTGTTATGTCCATGCTACTGCTCATGTCTATAGGCGACGGTTACCACTTTCCATCAGGTGGGCCGTCAGCTTGTTTGCCATTCTAAGTTGTATAAAAAAAAACAAGTCAAATTGTTTGCAATAATCTAACCTCCACATTTCAATGGATTTAACTTAATCCATTTCTGAGTAATATAAAAATGGATAACTTGAACGTCTTTTGTATGAAAATTTTCCACCAAGGTGTTTTCTATTATCTGCCTGCGACATATTGCAAATTGGCTGTGGTATTATACGTGAGTTTGTTTATAAAATAATAATCCACTATATAATCCGGTTTTGTCACAGATACGCAAATACCAAGTAAAAAATGTAAATAAACATGTCTGGCCTTGTCGCTAGCTCGCTTTGTGTGTGACCTCGGCGATAGGCGATAGCGATCTCATAAGCGGTCGATTATCATGTGATTATCGCCTCTGTGGATAAATTGTATCAATTCGGTGTTACGCCGTAGTAAAATTATCACAATTGTAGAGAGCGATAAGATATTTAAAGTACTTTTCGTGTACAAATAATATTATTGCGTAACATTATTAGAGATTATTTATTGACAATTAAGGTTTTGATTATATTTTTAATACGATTTTAATAGGATTATTATTTGTTTACATAAATAATAATCTATCGTTCCTTCATTTATATTTCATAATTAACAAAATAATATTTTAAGTAAATCCTTTTAAAAAAATAGTGATATAACAAAATATACTGTGTCGCCCATGATACCCTTCATGCGTTAACATTCCTGAGGATTAAGGTGTTATGCCTCTGTACACTGCAATTCCATTGCCATAATCCACTTTTCAAACCGAAACACAACTTGGGGGAAAGGGATTGTTAGTGATGGAGACTGAGAATCCCATTGCTAGCAATATACCCAATCAGGTCGACCTCCTCGCGGTTCCCCCTGGAAACTATCATGGTTAATTCCTGATGAATTCATCATGATGGGCTAACTGGCCTGTTTTCATTCTCATCTATCACCCTTCACTGGTGCTGTTGCGTATCCCGTTAGCGCAGGCGGGGTTACCATACCATTTTCGCCCGTCAAAAAAAAAAAAACGAAACAACTGCTACACAGCAGAAACACGAATGGGATAGAGGTATCCAATCAAACAACTATTGCACACAGTCTCCTTGCAGTAAATAATCAAATTCTATGCACAATTGAAGTAACATACAGACAGAAAATAGGAAAAAAGTAGTCTAATCGATATACCATACCATAATAGGAAAATACAATATTCTAACGTTCAGACAAAAAATACAATTGGACTAAATTGAAAAGCTACTATTTTTAGTCAGATAAAAACATTTTACTGTTTAACACTCTAGTACTAAGCCTCCACTAGTTGTGTTAGCGAGTGAGCTGTCGTGTAAAAACGCTACCGCTTATCACTCGCGCCATAACCCACACGTATTGTGTTGTGGTGAGCAGATCAAAAAACATAGGAAGAAAAATCCAATTCCCTTTTTTTTCGTCCGCATTATTTAGTTCAATTTTACTTGGTTTTTACGTGAAAGATATTTCAACAATGATATTGGTCGCAAATTGGCTTTTTCTTGTTTGTATCAATAAAAAAAAATGATTGGATTTTTCTATAAGGGTTTTGTTATAAAAACGTAATGGAATTATATGGGGGTCTTTGTACACATGCTGACGGGTATGCACGCATACTATTATAATACTATAGTTAAATCTCGCGTATACCTCAATTCCCAAAGGGTCTAGAATAAAATAGAAACATGTTTTCTGTGAATATGAAAAATTTAGTTTTTTTTTATATACAACTTAGAATGGCATACAAGCTGACGGCCCACCTGATGGAAAGTGGTAACCGCCTATAGACATGAGCAGTACCATGGACATAACAGTACACACATACTGTTTCGCTCATGATACTCCCTCATGCGTTGCTATTCCTGAGGACTCAGGTGTTATTCCTCTGTACCCAGTAAATTCACGCCATATCACCACCCTTCAAATCGAAACACTAAGCGATTCATATAATATACTATATTTTTATTAACATATGTATATTATAAAGACATTCTATTTATTATTTTTTTAAAGTAGTACAATAAAGTGTGAATAAATAAATCTCTAAACGCCTAACTGTAGTTGCTAACCCGCTTGCCAAGCGTGGCAACCACTGGCAAAACTACACTTATGGACAAGACAAGACAGTCAGCAGTAGATATATATATATATATATATATATATATATATATATATATATATATATATTTTCTTATAATCTTGTTTACTCTCCCGGTATAAAGTTAACGGCTAGATTTAAACTTGTTATACGATTTTCATTGCGCCTCGTGCACAGAGTGCGACACCGGTCTATTCCGTCTTAAATATAGGACAAAGGAAAATTACACCAGATAACAACTGTACAAACAGACAGTACGATAAACTCGACGTCGATACGCGAAGGTAACGGTGCGGCGCGTTTGATACGCGAATTGTAAATATAATAGTATGATGACGACTGTAAATCTAAGCGGGGTAGACAGGGGGACCAGAGGGAGACTGTACAAAAGTCGATTGCTTGGGTACCTCTGTCTTATTCGTGTTTCAACCGTGAAGCAGTTGTGTTTGCATGGCTGTGTTTCGGTTTGAAGGGTGGGATATGGCAGTGAATTTACAGGGTACAGAGGAATAACACCTGAGTCCTCAGGAATGGCAACGCATGAGGGGTATCATGGGCGAAACAGTATATTATGTTATGTCCATGGTACTGCTCATGTCTATAGGTGACGGTTACCACTTTCTGGTCAGGTGGGGCGTCAGCTTGTTTGCCATTCTGAGTTGTATAAAAAAAGATATTAATAAATTTCATCCTTTGTTCTCCAGCGGTGGTCTGTCCAACTTCCTGTACTACGTAGCGCTGCCGGACGACGCGAGCAAGCTGGGCGGGTACACGCGGCGCGAGAGTTCCCCGGACGCGGAGCCCGACGGCGAGCCGGAGACGCTGGCCAGCCGCCTGGCCAAGAAGAACCTCGCCAGGTCCAACTCGTTCAGTATCGAGGAGCCTAAGAAGGTGGGTGGAGTTTTTTTATAACCGACTTCAAAAAAGAGGAGATTATCGATTCGATTTTTTTTTTTTCATGTTTGGTAGATACCTCGGAATGCAGTTAATTTTATAAACGGCTTTCGTAAAAATTATCTATGTATATATCTATATATGTATGTATGTATAGTGAACGCTCTATATAAGCAACATTCTTTATATTTTATTTATTCTACTCAGCTTAGTAAAAGAAGTAAAGGTGATAATGGAATGGTAACCCCGCCTGCGCTATCGGTATAAACCGGCGGGGCACCAGTGAGAGATGATAGATGAGGATGAAAGCAGGTCAGTTAGCCCATCGTGACGAATTGCACTATAATTAACCACGATGGTTTCCAGGGGGAACAACGTGGAGGTCGACCTGATAGGGTATATTGCTAGCAACAAGTTCATTAGACCCCATTACTAACAATTCCTTTGATTTAATTTAGCTCATAGAGTACTTTATATACTGAGTCACGCGGGCGGGCAGAGTCACGACTTACAGCTAGTATTATATAGGGCAGTAGAATCGTAAAAAAATTCAATTTATTCTAAGTAATTGTAAGTTGGCTCAGCCCATATTCTTCCTGCATAGAATTGATTATAAAAATTATTCTTGTTCAATGACTTGAACAGGTACTGCTGAGGATATATGGACAAGTGCACGGCGAGCGGGCGATGGACGCGATAGTGACGGAGTCGGTCATATTCACGCTGCTGTCGGAGCGGCGGCTCGGGCCTAAGCTGCACGGCGTCTTCTCCGGCGGCAGGATTGAGGAGTATATCCCTGTATGTATGCATTCCGTTTGTATTAGTATGAATGAATGAGTATACTTCATTTGCATTATACAATATAGGAAATAAGCAAGGCAATTTACAAACATAGCGATACAATTGTATAAGTACAGTAAGGCGGTCTTATTGCTGAGAGCAATCTTTTCAAGACAACCTTAGGGTAATGGACTAACTGTTGTACAAGCAGGTATTGTATAATTAAGAAAATTAACAAAATAAAACATTAAGGATATTAAGTATATATAAGTAATAATAGTCAAATTATAAAACAAATATTAAGTAAAAATATTGCCGTACTGGCCAGATACATACGGGCAGCGGCCGGCAAAAGTTGTATGAAAATCCATATCTGTCGTGTTTTGCGGCCAGATAAATTACTATGTAAACTCATATCTGTCCTGTAATTTAAAAATGGAATGACCTTTTACTTCGAAACATAGCTACCAAGGAGGTAACTAATACAAGGTTTTATTTAAATTTCGAACTGGCTTGCAAATAGAAAGCTGTTTATTGAAAAAAAAAAAAACAAGGGAACATTATGGCGCGTGAAAATTTATTATTGTTCTCTATTCGTCATTGAACTTAAAAAGTAAAATTGTGTTTTTGATTTCCGCGCATTGTTTGAAAAAAGTACTTTACAAGCCTTGCCACAACTAGGCATTGATGGACTCACGTATGTGTGCCTTGGCTACGCCTCGGCCCACATTTACACGTTCGTCCATCAATGCCTCAGCTGCTGGCCGCTGCAGTAATGTACTATAATTGAATTATTCTCATATTAATGTATTCCTGTTTATTTCAGGCCAGACCACTCCTATCTAAAGAGCTGTCCGATCCGGCGATTTCAATGAAGATTGCTGAAAAAATGGCAGCCATACATTCCATGGACGTGCCCCTATCAAAGGAGCCTAATTGGCTATGGAAAACCATGGCGAAATGGCTGAAGACTGTCAGAGAGGAAAGACTGTCGAGCACCAATCACGGAAAAGTTAGTTCCCATGGCATATGTCCGTAGTGAAGTAAAATTCTTACCATTTAGGTTATTGATATAAATGAAAAATAATTTACTTAAACTTAATACTTTAATTTATTAATTATCTTTAACTAACTTCATGAAGGATAGTGTCCTTCTGTTTTTGTGTGTATGTTACGTAATAATTCTGCAAATTGTAAACCTATTTTAATGAATATTTGACCCTGAATATTTGTCTCAGAGTCGAATTCCAGTCTTCATCTCTGAATTTTAAATAATCTTGTTTGAAATATTTTATATAAAATCAACATTCTATATGTAGCACTAAAAATTTAGCTGAACTAATATTATACTATGTAATGAGGGTTGAGCGCTGTTGTCTGAGATACAGGCTTTATAGCCTAGCTCAGACGCAGATGTTTGAACTGATCCAAATGTACAAATGAATTCGTGCCTACTTTTACTGTAATTTCCAGTGCTGAGTTTGTTACAATCATGGTTATGCAATAAAGTTATTATTATTTTTTTAAAATTATTGTTACGTACTTCATACTGCGGAATTTACGTAAAGCCGTCGTCTAAGCCGCTTCAGGGGCCTTCATATAACTAAGACGGTCTGAAAACTTTACATTAGTGTGCGCTACCCTCTCATAGTATCTATTTTTGTATGGTTATTTTTTATATCAGCCCTTTAACTGTCCACTGCTGAACATCGTGAAGCAGTTGTGTTTGCATGGCTGTGTGAATTTACAGGGTACAGTAGAATAACACCTGAGTCCTCAGGAATGGCAACGCAGAGGGGTTATCATGGGCGAAACCGCGCATGTTGATAGACGACGGTTACCACTTTCCATCAGGTGGGCCGTCAGCTTGTTTGCCATTCTAAGTTGTATAAAAAAAAACATAAGCCTCCTTCTTGGCAGTATTGCCACAGTGCAAATTAAAATATAAAATTAAAGTGTTGTTGTGTGAATATTGCTCACACCTTGCTCATCCACCTATATTTACTTAATCATCATCATATCAAGCAGTAACTATCTACTAGTGAACATGGGCCTCCCCCATAAGGGGGGTTTTGCCAGTAGTTGCCACGCTTAGCAGGCGGGTTACCAACCGCAGTTAGGCTTTGGTGATGTTTTAAGAAGTTCATCACCATTAAGTTTCCTTAGTCACATTTTACGACATCTACAGGAAAGAAAGGGTTTTTTTAATGGGTGATAATGGAGTAAATGGCAAACAAGCTGATTGTCCACCTGATGGAAAGTGGTAACCGTCGCCAATAGACATGAGCAGTATCATGGACATGACAGCTGTTTCGCCCATGATACCCCTCCCATGCGTTGCCATTCCTGAGGACTCAGATGTTATTCCTCTGTACCCTGTAAATTCACGCCATATCCCACCCTTTAAACCGAAACACAGCCATGTAAACGCAACTGCTTCACGGTAGAAACACGAATGGGACAGAGGTACCCAAGCAATCGACTTTTGTACAAAGTCTCCCTCTGGTATAAATTTACATATCTACTTCATTACATAACTACTTTACCTATTTTCAGAATGAACAAGAACAACAAGTAATCAAGAAGTTGAAGAGTGTGGACTATGAGAAAGAGATAGAATGGCTCAAGAAATTCATAGCTACCATAGACTCCCCGGTCGTGTTCTGTCATAATGACATGCAAAAAGGTATTACGCTTCTGTCTTATTTTTATTCTATATTTATTTCTCTATAAAAGTAGTAGATGGAGAAGGACTTTAGTTAAATAGGGCATCCTAATCTTAAGCAGCCCATTGTATTCTTTTTAATGGAGGATAATGGAATTGTAACACCGTCTGCGCTAATGGTATACGCTGGCGGGGCACCGTGAGAGATGACAGGTGAGAATGAAAAGGTAGGCCAGCCCATCGTGAAGAATATACCTGGGATTCGGTACTATGGTTTTCAGGGGAGAGCATGTGGAGGTCGACCTGACAGGGGCAATTGCTAGCAATGGGACTGATAATCCGCACTACTAACAATTCTTTCCTTCCCTTTTTTTAGACTATGATTAGCCACTTATCATCAAACGAGCCAAATACTGGTATGCCACCAAAAGTTACCGCTTATTCCCTCTTGCAGGCAACATCCTTCTTCTAGAAGACGTAGTCCAATCTACAGGTGATGAGGACGTTTCTGTATACGTTCAGACGTACGATACGGATTCACCGAAATCCAACAAAGAGAATAACCATACGAAGACCAGTTTCGAGACAATGACACAGTACGAAGACCAAAATACTTCTGACAGCATCATTAGTCACATGTCGGATAGCGGGGAGCCTAAACTGGTGCTCATAGACTTCGAGTACTGTGCATATAACTACAGAGGGTTCGATATAGCCAATCATTTCCAAGAGTGGATGTATGATTACAATAATCCAGAGTATCCATTTTATGATGAGGTTCTGGAGAATTACCCCACTTTGGAGCAGAAGGTGAGTGATGTTCCAAGTTTTCCTTTTTCATATATAAATATAATTTATTTACATTTTTTAACCATAGAGGTTAAAAAAAAGTTCGAAGGAAACGATCATTTTCAAAAATTTTTTTTTACTTTTTTCTATTTTTGAATAGGTAGGTTTTTATGACGTCAATATTTTCAGTCTAAGCTGACTGGCACTTCTTGGTCAGTCGATCAACAGGGTTAAGTAAAACAATATCCAGTTATGACATGGATGGGTGGCAATGTGCCCATACTAATACGCAGACTGTAGTATTGTTGTCAGACACCAATAGTGGTTAATGAAACTTAACCAAACAATTAACTACTAAATGTGTCGCATTAGGTTATAGAAGACCTTAATTATAAATAACCCAAAAAAGATGTCTCAAGAACGTGAACATAACTATAATATAAAAATATATTCTTCACTAAATCAGAAGCTCTGTGGTGAACGTAACCCGTAATGGCTGCCACAGCTCGCTTTACAGTTCACTTAAACTGTTTACCATCTCTGGAGAGGCCAAAATATGCCTTCAAGGGATAACCCATCTTATGAATTATGAATACGGGACACCCTATATACGTCTGATGCTAATAATTACCATACGCACGTTATACCTTTCATAATAAACCATTAATTATTATGGTTTTTCAAAATGGCGACTTGTTAATAATATTTATAAACAGACTGCTTAGGCAGTGCCCCTAAACGAGCGGTAAATTAATTCATCGGTATATACGTTTTCGCTGTCGTATGCATAAAATAGAGTGAGACGATAAAATACTGTATCTTGTTCTTATATGCGTATCGTTGTCGATAATGTATTTACTGAATTTACTACTTGTCTGTGGGAAGGGGACAGAAAACCCTATTAAATGTCAGGTATCAGAATAATTAAAATATGCTTAATAACAATATAAATGTCTGGGGAGATAATGTATCCGCCATTTTGGAAAGTTAATCGTATTTAGAAGTTTACACCCTAAAACTGGCAACATTTGTTTTACCTGTCAAAATTAATGCCAACACGATGAATAAATGTGAAAGTATGCCACCATCAACCTTTTAGCACTTTAATGACTATTAATTATGATAATTATGGAGAATTTTATGGTTTTTATGCAGATTATTATGTGACAGAGAAGGACAGGTGACTTTTTATTCCCATCGGTCTCGTAATATTTGACAATAATCGTAAAATATTTGACATAGTTTGAATTTTACATGCAACATAATATTCTTTACTGACTTTTTGTTACTAAAATAAATCATATAATAATAATTGTGTATCAAGATCAAGTGTTTATAAAATTTAATGTTGCCAGTTTTACAATTTAAACCTCTCCCGGTGATGTTGGTAATATAATACCAATCAGTTACATACGGTACATACTATTATTGTAATTAAATTTAGAAATAAACCTACAAATATACTCTTTAGGCGTAAGAAAATCATTATCGGAGACGAGTAACTTTGCGAGTTTTGAATATTTTAAATGTCTATCATAAACCATAGATATTTATTTTGAATTGTCTATGATCAAGTGAACACAGTTTTTCCGGTATAGATACAATTAATATTTTTTTAAATTCTGTGCTACTTGGTATTTTGTATTAGCACAAGTATTATAACTTGTAAATGTCAGTTTTTGTTTGAAAAATGCAACAAAAGAATTTCCAAATGGGCGATAGAATCATTATTAGAAAAAATTACAATTGTAAATGTTTACAATTTATATGAATAAAAAATAATTTACATTCTATTATTGAAATCTCTTTTTCTTTTATTTTCTTCAATGGCAATCGGACTTTATTTTTACGACCATTTCAGCCAGCGTTGAGTATTTTAATTTTGGAATCTCTTTTATTTTAATGCATCAATATATTCGTTATACAACTACATAGTTTGACCCTTTCTTTAATATATTATTTGCAATAATATACACAAATGCCAATTCGAATTACTATGGAAGTTTTAGTAACATCCACCCTTTAGTAAGGTTCCTTCACTATCTTTTTTTATATTAAAAACTTTCTATCGCTTCCTCACATTCATCACGCGTATTTATAAAAGATTTTTCTCTTCAATTAGCCTCCAAAATTGCTCGTCCACGCTTTCATCATTTTCTTACAGTTGCAGAGTAAAGGAATATGTGCGTACCGCATACGAGCCTGAGGTTCGTAGCTCATTGATCATAGGTAGTTATAAACCTCTTTTAAATCGTTTACACAAATAAATATGGCACGTCTTTCAAATTAATAACAAGAATAAATGATATTTATCTTGTTTACTGCAAGGTTTAATTTTAAAAGTCAACAAAGTCTTGTGAAATTTAAAATGTGAATAAATTTATATTTTTATTTCAATCTGTTACACTTTTAGTTGGAATGCATTTCAATGGCATTCCCTTCCGAGTGCTAAAGCTATCCGCTGTTTATATAAAATACATTTAAAAGAGGTTTTACTCAACTAACTCAAAGTGCTTTCTCTAATAAAAACATTCAAATTTGGACCAAATCATTACTTATTGTTTGTAGCAATATTTCCTTTAATATTATAACAGAAATATAATTCGAATTGACCTCTGACATAACTAAAAATAAATAAATAAAGTAATATAAATATTTTTCATATAGAATTATGTTGCTACAATCAAAATCAAACGTCAAGAATGAAGATGGAATTTGGGGTTACCATAAAAAACTGCCACTACGCAGCTTGTGTGTGTTATGCTTGATTTTTAGTCGCAGCGTCACGCTCTAGCGGGACCATAGACCACGTGGCTGAATGGACGCATACCTTTGTCTATGCCAAGCTAAGATGACGCGAGTAAAGTACAAAATGGCGGCGCTGTCAAGAATAAAAGTATAACGCCAATGAGAGTTCAATTGTTTATTTTTTAATAAAAATAGTTGGTTGTTATTGGTTTATCAGTTCATTATTTAAAAAAAAAAAAAAACTTTAAGTTAAAATAATTGTTATTTGGAATATTTAATGAATTTCATTTAGCATTATTTTATTTATAAATATTTTTATATTTATAAAAAGAAACCTATGTTCTGTTAAACCAATAACATACTTGTTATATTTCTTCAAACATATTAGTACTTACTTATCTTTTTTTTTTTATGTATTTTATTGCATAATAAGTGAATAATAGGTCGTATGTAAAACTATGCATATATAACTACTTATTTATTTACTGATATGTTTGACGAAATTATTATAAGCAAATTCAAATGAGTACAGTGAAAAATTAAATTTAAAAAAAATTCAACGGTGATTTCGATATCAAGTACATTATTTTTGTCATTCTAATATGGAACAAACATTTTTTTTTTTTATAACTTTATTGACATTTTATCAAGAGACTAAATAATTTTTTTTTTTTTTTTACTATTATTGGCTTCACTTCATGAACATAACTAATTATGATTAATGAGTAAAGTATTGCTTATACATTTATGAGTCAACATCTGATGCTGCATTCAAATATTAAACTCAGCCCTCAGACGCATATTTGTTTATCAAATGTGCGCAATGCACAGTAAATACAGGGGTGTTGATATAACAAAGAGGAATTGTGATAATGTTTTTCGAAATCACATACATTATTATGTAGTAATGTAAAATAAAAACTGTGGCTGTTGATGTAATATAAAATTAAATATATTTTTTTTATATATATAATTGTATTTATATATCTACTATAATTATATGAACACCCTGTGAAAAAATAATACGTAGTCGTTTAATACATGATCACAAACACGCATTATCATATTTTTATAATCTCGTCTTAAATAGCTGTTTATTCTGTTGCTATATTTAAATTAAAAAAAAATAGTTCGTATTTATTATAACGACCTAGTCAAATAATTATACAAACATCCCATTACGTTATCCCATATTTTTAATTTCTAAATGCTCCTACTTTGGTGAGGGGCCAAGCTCTCCCATAATCATAGACGATTCCCAGAAACCCCAACCAATCCAAACTAATTTATCACTATTATAATGCTAGTTAACTCCCTTAAAGCATTTTCAAACCCCATTATGCTAAATTTCATAAAATCCCTTTTAAACCCCACAAAGAGGACCATAATCTTAATTATTCTACTTAAAACCCTGCATACTTCCTATTAAATTATACTATAATTTCAATAAATTCCCTTAAACCTCTTACCAATAGCCCATAAAGATATAATTTAAGTTATCCTCCCCTAAAAACCTAATTGACTAGGTATAACCCCCCTCCACTTAACTGTAATATTGTTTTAGTTGATTCACCCAAATAATACTGCCAACATCCACTAAATTGTCTTATTAATTTTTCAGGAAATCTTCATTAAAGAATATCTGAAGCATTACCAATCAAACTTATCGGACGCCAAGGACACGACGCCCTCTATTGACGATGTGAACCAGCTGCTGTCTGAGGTGGACGCGTTAGCGCTCGCCACGCATCTCTTCTGGAGTCTATGGTCTATGGTGAACGCATCTAAGAGCAATATACCTTTTGGCTATTGGGTAAGTCAGATATACTACTGTGTTTCGATTTGAAGGGTGGGATATGGCGTGAATTTACTGGGTACAGAGAAATAACACCTGAGTCTATAGGAATGGCAACGCATGGGGGGTATCATGGGCGGAACAGTGTACTCTGTTATGTCCATGGTACTGCTCATGTCTATAGGCGACGGTTACAACTTTCAATCAGGTGGGCTGTCAGCTTGCTTGCCATTCTAAGTTTTCTAAGCCATTCTAAGCCCCGTCGGTGTATATAAAAAAAATTGCTTGTCCATTATTTTGTTTCTTTTTTTTTTTTCAGGAATACTCATTATCCAGGCTAGAGACGTACCTCAGACTCAAACAGGAGGTAATAAAGAAAGAAAAATTTAATTTCCCACAAAAGAGGAAAATCTACGAAGTCGACATATGAGAAAAATATGCGACACTCACTATATAAGTATCCTGCTCCACTGGGAACGAGAGAAAGAGATCGACGATAACCTCCAAACGGGAAATGGGAAATGGCAACAAAAAAAAAAACAACAACAAACGCAACGTTCTGTAATCTGTATACACTCTCAGTGAAACTCGACGATTTGTACTTGTAATTTATTTAACAATAATGCCTAGTTTTTAAGTTGTAAATTGAAAAATTGTATTTAAATAATTACTTATAAATATTTGTATCGCAATTGTTAAAATAGTTTATCAAGCATTCTTAAGTTTTGCATTTGTATGATTTACAAATCACAGGTTAATATTGCCGTATGAGATTTTACACGTGTAGGTATGGTCACATCTGGATATTTAGATGGATACTCATTTCCACATAGTGGAATGCGGACGACATGTCAATTTGTCCATAATAATTATATATACATGGCGTTTTTAATATCTACAAATGACGGTTATCAATATTTCAGTCTAAGGTTAAATTTCTACACGCTATCTCCTAAACACCTCTATTCGTATCTGTCACTACTTGTAACTTACATATCAAATGTTACTTATTAACTCTTACATTTTATTTCAAAGGCTACGACTTTAGCGCGTTAAAAATTTATTTATAGGCAAATAAAAAAATTATAAACTGCACTGTGCTGACATCTTTAATTAAAGCTATAGATGAAACATTTTTTAAACATTTCTATTAATATCTTGAGGGTAACCTAAATTTATTCGCGGCAACAAAAGTCTATCCATAGACAATCTGTTTTGTTTCAAATTCTGTTCGTTGTAGCAATGTGCCAGGTGACAGATGACATTTTACTGTAAATGTACTGTTGAGATTTTTGGAGTTAAAAAGTTAATTATTAAGTTTATAATGTTACTGAACTTTCTCACTATCAATTGGTAGTGTATTGACGCCGTAAATTATGTTTTAATAATTTGTTTCGTGACTTTAATGACCTGTCACCCGTACTGTGCTACAATGTACAGAGTATAGTGCAATTTGTGTTTGTACAGTGTACTTAACAATGTTTAAGCAAAAAAGTTTAAGCGTTAGACATAAGATCTAGTCCAATGTAATTGTTCGTATCTTAGCATCTAATACGATCTATCTATCTATCCTATTTAAGAGCTGCACTCTTGTCGGTGGAGCTCTCGCCACTCACTACGATTTTCAGCGAGTCTCTTCACCTGTTGATACGACATGACACCAACTCCTTCCTTGATCTGCCTGATGTAACTGTCTCGGTCTCCCTCTCCCCCTCCTTCCTTCTATCTTGCCTTCTATTATAATGTTCATAAGTTCGTCGTGTCGTATCAAGAGTCCCAACATTTTTTCCCTTCTGTACTCGATAGTTTTTATAATTTGTCTTTTTTTCTAATAAGATATGATTATATTATAAAATTACATAGAAAAAAAAAATTCTATGTAGACTGAATACAAAAGTAAAGCACATATAACTTTTTCTATAATTTTGTTCACAAATATTAGGATAAAATTATCCTATGTGATAGTAAAAGACATGGTAAATTTATTACTAAAAAATTTCAAATCTAACAAACATGATTAGCATCCATACATCTTTATATTCACATGTATGTATGAAATTGTATTTACTCGAATAAATAAATTGCATTACAATTAAAGTGATACAATACGTAGCCATACACAGTAGATAGGTAATACTACGAAATCCAATAAATATCCGATGATACACTGATATTTTTTTCGTTTCGTATCTGTGGTCGACATTAGCTACGCTCGCGACTCCGTTCGCATTTATTATATACCCTCTATCTATCTATTTATATTTTATTTCCATTAATTTTTGTATAGCATTTTCCATACTTTATTTTTTACGCCATCTAAGTCAGTACTTTGACAAAAAAATTACTTTAAATGTGTAAAAATTTAAACCCCTTTGGGTGAAAAGCGGGATAGTTTTTAAAACTTAAAGACATATTTGACCCATATTTAGTTTTATATACTGTGAAAATTACATCCCAATTAGTCCAGCCGAATAGGAAAAAAAAATGAATGAAAAAGCAATGCTTTCGTTTCGATATGTGTTATATAGGCATAGACACATTTAATACACAGTTTTGGCTTTGTTACATTTTTATTTACATATAGTAAAAATGAAATTATTTTCTGAATGTGATCACACCCATTCCTTTTATACGATACGAACTTAGAAATGTGATTTTAGCGATTAAGTTACTTAATTAGTTCATAATATTTCCAAATGTATTTGTGATTGAACATTTGTTATGATAAATTATATAAAAAATAAAATATATTAAAAAAAAATCGAGACATTCCATAAAGAAAATATAAGTTTTCGAAAACATAACGGTATTTTTTTTTCTTTCCTTCATAACTTATGCAGAGAAAAAAACAAACAGCAGCCTTTAATTGTCCAATACTAAACATATGCCTCCCCCTAGGGGGGTTTTTTCAGTAGTTGCCACGCTTGGCAGACAATTGTAGTTAGGCTTTGGACATGTTTTAAGAGACGCTGCTGTCCATGTCTCGCCCTCCCTTAGTTGCCTCCTACGTCACTCACAGGATAGGAAAGGGTGGGCTATTTTTTTTATGGGTGATAACGAAATAGTAACCCCACCCGCGCCATCGGTATACACCGGCGGGGCACCAGTGAAGCATGATAGGTGAGGATGAAGCAGGTCAATTAGCCCATCGTGACGAATTCAACAAGAATTGTTCACGATGGTTTCCAGGGGGAACCACGTGGAGGTCGACCTGATGCCCTATCAGGCTATCATATTGCTAGCAATGGAGCTGTCAAACTCCATTGCTAACAATCCCTTTCCCCCCCGGGGTGGGCTATTTAATGCCGAGACCACACAGCATCCATTTTAAATATAGGATTATAAATAATAAAAACTATTTAGTACAGACAATTTATTTAGGAAAAACATTTTTTACAAAAGAAATAAATAGGGACAATTCATAAATTACGTTATGTGTTTCATATATTTTTTTTATGTCCATGAACTGATAAAATTGGTAATTGTCTTTCATAAGTCCTTCAGTTGGCAGTAAAACGATGTTATTTGACATCGCAGGTACCTACTAAATCTATGGTTGAACCCTTAAAACATTTGACGTAATTTATGGATAGCCCCACCATATGAACAGGGTGATGGGTGACAATATTAGATGATAGAAAACCTGTCCTCATATTTTCACACAATAGCTATTTAAAAAAAACGAATACAGTGCCCGCCACGAGATATTGTTTTTGTGAAGTTAGCAACAAATCAATAACGATACAAAATCTTGTCATTCTATTAAAAATACAGTCGCGTCCAGAAGTTATTTAGTGGTTTATCATTATAAGTGTCTTTTTTTGTAGATTAATATTTCTTCTTGAACTTTTGTGTTAACTTTTGTAATATTAGGTTAGTTCATATGTTATTATTCTCGTGTTACATCATAATAAAAAAAAAATACTTCTTTAATTTCTTACAAAAATTTCACAGTAGATACATAATTCAATAAATAAAAAATCAATGGCATTTTTGTTCGCGTCTGTACGAATGCGCATACTCATTCCGCAGCTAACTTCACAAACATAAAGATCCGTGGCGAGCACTGTACATGATATTATGAACATATTAGAATTCTCGGTTGCGTATTTTGAAATATTTTCGAATATATGTTTAACATATTTCAGATACCATAAAAATATTAGATGATTAAACATAATTTTATTCGACAAGTCACTCACATAGAAACATAATTTGAAAAAATAAAAAATCAATAATATGTTCACGATATCTTTATAATAATAATAATAATACAAAACAAATTAAAGCATTTTTTTATAAACACTACAAATACTGCATACTACTCAACGAGGTAGCTGCCCACCTGATGGTAAGTGAACAGCGTCGCCTTGACAAGGACGGTGTTACGGGCACTATACTATACTGCGCTCGCATGAAAAAGAACAAGTCACCAGATATCGCCATCTCGTTCTGTCTCATGGGAATGCCAGCGATAACAATTCTATAGATGGACTCGTTTGTCACTTGTCTACCGGAGCAATGCAAATACCCACTATTGCAATGAGTCATTCAATACCTCCAAACTTAACCCTTAAATACCTGAAGTTTCAAATTTGATACCGTGGTTATAAATCGCATTGGGCGCCTACAATCGATTTTTTTTTAATATTTGACTGTTTACATGTTACCACCAAATGTTTTTTTCAAAATCTAATATATAAAATTCTCGTGTCACAGTGTTTGTTACCAAACTCCTCCGAAACGGCTTTACCGATTTTTATGAAATTTTGTGTGCATATCGGGTAGGTCTGAGAATCGGCCAACATCTATTTTTCATACCCCTCAATGATAAGGGTGACCCACCCCAAATTTTTTTTTAATTTTTTTTATTTTTTTAACAAATTTTTCCATTTTTATTTTATTATAATTTAGCATTGAAAAATACATACAACTTTAAATTTTCATCGTTTTACGATCAACCCCTGTCTTTTAATCGCGATTTTTATATTTTGCAATAAGTGGTAAAACAACGTTTACGGGGTCAGCTAGTAAATATACAAAAATATCGTTTTGAGTTTTTTTTACTATTTTTCCCCATAAGCAAACACAGTAAAGGGTACACTTATATATTTTTTAATTTGATAAAAAAAAAATCAGGCTTTTAAGGGTTAAAACAGATCAGTGCTGATCCGCTACTAAGCAGCTGTCTCATTATTATTCACTCAAAAATTCTCACTGAACACTTTTGAAGTTAATTCACCGACTTCAAAAACAGTAATCGTCAGATTACGCCGCCTAAGCTGACGTTTGTATTCTGACTCGATGTAAATTCTCTAAAGGGACCAAATAAACTAATTTTCGAAATATTTACAAATAAAAACAATCATGTTCACACGTGGTACATAGTTATTAAACACTGAGCTATGACCCTCATATACCGCTCCCAAACACTCTTCAGGTCCGCCTCTCTGAAAAAAAAAAAATACTTAGAATGGCAAACAAGCTGACACCAGAGGGAGACTTTGTACAAAAGTCGATTGCTTGGGTACCTCTGCCCCATTCGTATTTCTACCCTGAAGCAATTGTGTTTGCATGGCTGCGTTTCGGTTTGAAGGGTGGGATATGGCGTGAATTTACTGGGTACAGAGGAATAACACCTGAGTCCTCAGGAATGGCAACGCATGGAGGGTACCATGGGCGAAATAGTATACTCTGTTATGTCCATGGTACTGCTCATGTCTATAGGCGACGGTTACTACTTTCCATCAGGTGGACCGTCAGCTTGTTTGCCATTCTAAGTTGTATAAAAAAAGCCCCATTACTAACAATATGCCCTCCTATTAGGTCGACGTAGTTCCTCCACGTAGTTCCCCCTGGAAACTATCATGAACAATTCTTGTTGAATTTCTCACGATGAGCTAACTGACTTGCTTTATCCTCACCTATCAGCCTTCACTGGTGCTCCACTGGTGTATACCGATAGCGCGGGTGGAGTTACCATTCCATTATCATCCATTAAAAAAAAGCCTACCTGATGGAAAGTGGTAACCGTCGACTATGGGACATAGACATCAAGGAATGTACCGTGATGCTTGTGGTAATCCTCTTGCGTTACGTAATTTCAATGCCATATCCCACCTTTTATATTGAAACACAGCCATGAACAGCTGTTTTACAACATAAGCACGGGTGGGACAAATAAACCCAAGCAGTCGACTTTCGTACAGTCTCCCTCTCTTTTGTACAAATATTATGTAGTTATTAAGTTATTTACAATGACGTGATAATTAGGTACCTACATTGGATGCATTGTAAATTTTTGTTTTTGGTTTGATTACTGATTATTGATTTCATGTTAAACGATGTATTCCTTAATTTTTTTTGCATATGTATTTATCTTCACGCCCGACCACTTGCGGAGTAGTCAGGAAAAATCGAATTTACTTGCAAGTAGGTTGGCTTTTTTTAATGAAAATGCAATCTTACCCATCATTTCTTCAATCGTAGTGTCACACATTTTGTTTTAATTTTTACAATCTTACTTCCAAAATTTATAAATGTTGCCACTTTTATTTTATATTTATGGGATGTTTTCCCAATTTTGTTAATATAACGATGACATATCCCTCACCTCAACACATCCATTTGCAACGCGCACTGCTCGTACGCGCACAAAAACTGAGCCAAATCAGTTTTGGGCCAGCCGCCCAATCTGAGGGGTTCGATGCATCTGGAAAATTAATTTGCCCATATCAAACACAAGTATATAGGCTAATAAACATCTGTTTACTGTTATATAACTAATGTAAGGCAAATAATGAATAATGTAATGTGGGAAGCATTTATTTCCAGCAGTGGTAGATTGCCGTGTGGTCCCGGCATAGTACAGGCCACCCCTTCCTTTTCACTGAGGAACTTAATGATCGAGGGATAGGCAGCAGCATCCCTCTTAGAACAAATCACATAAACTTAACTGCAGTTGCTGGGGGGAAAGGAATTGTTAGTAATAGACTGAGAATCCTATTGTTAGTAATGGAGACTGAGAATCCCATTGCTAGCAATATACCCAACCGGGTCGACCTCCTCGCGGTTCCCCCTGGAAACTATCATGATTAATTCCTGATGAATTCATCATGGTGGGCTAACTGGCCTGTTTTCATTCTCATCTATCACCCTTCACTGGTGCTCCGCCAGCGTATCCCGTTAGCACAGGCGGGGTTACCATACCATTTTGACCCATCAAAAAAAACTGCATTTGCCAACCCGCCAGCCAAGCATGGCAACTGCTAGCAAACCCCCCCCCCCCCTATGGCGAAGTCTTCAGAGAAATAGTAGATAAGCAGTCAGCCTTTTAAAAATTAATATTAAATATTCTCTTTTATTGAAAGTTACTATGTCATTATAATGATCTCCATAGGAGACAATAAAAAAGTGACTATGTCGTATCTGTTCGGAAATAATGCTGCTGGAATTTTTTTTATACAACAAATGGCAAACAAGCGGACGGCTCACCTGATGGAAAGTGATAACCGTCGCCTATACACATGAGCAGTACCATGGACATAACAGAGTATACTGTTTCGCCCATGATACCCCCCATGCGTTGCCATTCCTGAGGACTCGGGTGTTATTTCTCTGTACCCTGTAAATTCACGTCATATCCCACCCTTCAAATCGAAACACAGCCATGGAAACAACTGCTTCACGGTTGAAACACGAATGGGACAGAGGTAGTCAAGCAATCAACTTTTGTACAAAGTCTCCCTCTGGTGAACTGAGTTTAAAACGTGGTTCAAAAATGTACACAACTCATCTAGATGGTTGGGATAGAACTTCAATTTGTGGCGGATGGTGAAAATCAGCAGCAGGTCGAACAATTCCTCATAATCCATCGATCCGAACAATTCCTCAGAACACTCCCCATGATAGATTTGACAAATGATGCAATAGAGATGCAATGTGTGCAATAATAAATACTTCACCTTTCCAGCAAATCAATGAAGAGTGACCTCAGCTCGCGTCCCCTGTGCAGGTTGCAAGCGAGCCCCACCAGCGCTCGAGTGTACAGCCTGGAAAACAATTAACAAGTTATGAACTAGTACATATAAGAATTTGTATAAGTCATCTACTTGGTGCCTCTGTCCCACAGAGAGAGTAAATGGCAGTGCATACATTAAAAAAAAATGTAAAATAAATATTTTCAAAGATAACAACTTAGAATGGCAAACAAGCTGACGGCCCACCTGATGGAAAGTGGTAACCGTCGCCTATACACATGAGCAGTACCATGGACATAACAGAGTATACTGTTTCGCACATGATATCCCCCAACACAACTGCTTCACGGTTAAAACACGAATAGGACAGAGAGGTACCCAAGCAATCGACTTTTGTACAAAGTCTCCCTCTGGTAGTAGTAGTAGTCTCTCTAAATAACTATACATAGTACATATTAAATTAATAAATATATAAAACATAACTAATTATGTAACAGATCCGATAATTTATAATTTATATGAATATTGAAAGGTTTACGCCTGGGATTCGATCTTGGGACCTCATACTACACCGCTTGACCTTGATCAACGATGTTAAAACATATAGAGCTATTCACCTTACCTAAAGTTCAATTCCAACTCTTGATACGACTTCTCCAATAATTTCGGCTTTAGTCTCATGCAGATTAAACTGAAAAGTAAAGTAATACCATTTATTACTTATCTCTAGCACTAATAAAATGGGGGAAGGGATGGTTAGTAATGCGGGCTACCAGTCCCATTGCTAGCAATATACCCTGTCAGGTCGACCTCCACGCGGTTCCCCCTGGAAACCATCGTGCTGAGTTCCAGGTGTATTGGGCTGGGCATGGGCATTGGCATGGGCTGACTGACCTGCTTTTTCATTATTCACCTATCATCCCTCACTGGTGATCGTTCCCTCGTTGGTTATCACTTCATTTATCATCCATTGAAAAAAAAAAGCACTTTTAAAATAATAAATCAAACAATGGCAAGTTCCTAACTAAATATAATTAGATTAGATTTCTTTATTTGCGAGAACATTGTTTTTTTACAGATATTTTTTTCTGTCATGTAATTAAATAGCGCGTCCACTGCTAGGACCGAGCGAGTTTTCGTTTAAAAACGTATCTATTCTATATCTCTAGTCTAGATAGTATAAAACAAAGTCGCTTCCCGCTGTCTGTATGCTTAGATCTTTTAAACTACGCAAGTACTATTTTATAATGCGGTTTTCATCAGTATATTGAATGATTCAAAAAGGTTTTTTTTTGATGGGCGAAAATGGTATGGTAACCCCGCCTGCGCTAACGGGATACGCTGGCGGAGCACCAGTGAAGGGTGATAGATGAGAATGAAAACAGGCCAGTTAGTTTAATGTCCATCGCAGAAAAAAAAAAAAAAAACATAATAGTCAAATTTATTTCTTTAACCATTTTTCCTTCAATTCTGAACATGAATTATATCACCTTGATTTAGTTCACCAATAAAAAAAATCATGCAAAGAAGGGTTAACCAATCGTTATAAAATGTGATATAAACATCCGTAGGAATTTAAAAATCTGAGACCTATTAGTATATTGCCTTTTTTATCTAAAATTTTTGAAAAAGCCACTTTTATCCCGGATTATTAACATAATCCGGTCACATGGACCAAATTGCGGGTAAGAGCTAGTAAGTAAACAAATGTTAGTCGAGTCATGGCGGCGGTAGCCGGGTGCAGCGTACTGTTTGTGCTCCTTCTCCTTGTCGAGCAGGATCCTGAGCTCGCGCAGCTCCAGCAGGAACTCGCGGTCCATCTCCGTGTCGTAGTACTCGGGGCCCGTGCAGCTGTACGTCCAGCTCACCATTATCGCCTGCCACACACACATAATAGTTATACAGCCACCAGCTGTTAATAACTGATAGATAGATAGATACTCTTTATAGTTTCCTCCAAAAAATTACAATAGTAAACTTATAAATATAAATAATTACAAGAAATAATCACAATGAGAAAACAATGGGCGGCCTTATCGCTAAGAGCGATCTCTTCCAGGCAACCTTTGAATGGAGAGGAGTAATTATAAACAATTTGATCGGAGGCACGATGAAATTCTATTATTTCTAAAATATAGAGATGTGATACATGTAAGAATGTAAATCCCTACTTATTATTTATATACTTTTGTGTTTTCTAGGGAAGGAAAAGGAAGTGGGGCTGGGCCCTTAATAAACACATTGGTACTTTCAGATGTGTGTTTTTTTTATGGCTGAAAATGGTATGGTAACCCCGCATGCGCTAACGGGATACGCTGGCGGAGCACCAGTGAAGGGTGATAGATGAGGATGAAAACAGACCGGTTAGCCCATCATGACGAATTCATCAGGAATTAACCATGATAGTTTCCAGGGAGAACCGCGAGGAGGTCGACCTGGTTGGGTATATTGCTAGCAATGGGATTCTCAGTCTCCATTACTAACAATCCCTTTCCCCCTCAGATGTGTATTAACACATAGCTGAAACTTTCACTCGCATTATGAGGTGAGCACTCCCCCCATTAAATACGTCTATGGATAAAACACTCCCATAAACGGATGCTATTTTGTTTATGGATGATAATGAAATGGTAACCCCGCCTGCGCTATTTGTATACGCTGTCGGGGCACCAGTGATAGATGACAGGTGAGGATGAGAGCAGGCCAGTTAGCTCATCACGACGAATTCTACAGGAATAAACCACGGTAGTTTCTAGGGGGAAGCACGTGGAGGTCGACCTGATGGGGTATATTGTTAACAGTGGGGCTGTAAGACCCCATTACTAACCATCCCTTCCCCCCAATTGAATGCTATTTACATTTCAGACTGTATACAGATGGCGCTGTGTGGTGCCACGTGCTACGTTGAAGGTTCATGTAGTTATCAGAGCTCACCTGAGCACAATGGTAGAAGTCGTTGAAGGACAAATACTGCAGTTTCCGCTTAGTCGTCTCGAAGCGCATGCACGCTATAAACACCACCGCGCCATATTTTCTGTGACCAACACATTTCTAGCTGCAGCCAATCTTATATATTATAAATAAATTAATGAATCATTGAAATTAGGAATGAATATTTATTATATATATAATACAACTTAGAATGGCAAACAAGCTGACGGCCCACCTGATGGAAAGTAGTAACTGTCGTCTATACACATGAGCAGTACCATGCACATAACAGAGTATACTGCTTCGTCCATGATACCCCCATGTGTTGCCATTCCTGAGGACTCAGGTGTTATTCCTCTGTACCCAGTAAATTCACGCCATATCCCACCCTTCAAACCGAAACACAGCCATGCAAACACAACTGCTTCACGGTTGAAACACGAATGGGACAGAGGTACCCAAGCAACCGACTTTTGTACAAAGTCTCCCTGTGGTAAATCGTTGATATATTTAGTAGTAGCCTGCCAAAGATATTAGAAGCGGCTCACAAATATCCAGAGTCGGGTTAAATACATTTATTATAATTATGCATGTTAGCACACTAGGTTTATAACATTGATTTGGCTTTAGCTGTCATAATGTTGTAATTATTTTTAATGAATAAATAAATAGATAAAAAAAAATACTTTTTAATTCAATTCACTCATAATCGTATTTTCTGATATTGCTCACAACTCAGGTTACATGTTTATTTTTGTTATTTACTTCATTTTCTCGCACTGTATAACTATGTTAAAGTAAATACTGTGAATACCTATAATAGGCGTGTGCATTAATATTGTATTGTATTTAATGTTTGTTATACCTATATGTTATAATGCAATATGCTGTTGGTGTTCCCTAAATAAATAAATAAATACTTGGCCAGCGGCTCGGAGAGCAGGAAGGTGGTGCGTATGTTGGCGACCACGTTGCCGGGCATCTCCTCGACCGCCTTGAACACGCGGCGCACGTTGTCGAACTGCCGCCGGCAGCAGCGCAGCGGCGCCCCAGACCGCTCAGACACCTGGCCGACACACTGGCTCAGTCAACTATCTCTCTGCCTCTAACTATCCCTCATTTAATTGTACTGAAATATCTGAAATATCTATTATTTATTTATTTAAATTAAAATATTACAGAGTCATAATGATAAAGAACACACACAATTTTTCTTTTTCTTTTTTTGTCAGAGATGTTCGCAACTGGCTTTTGGCCACAAGAGAAAATCAGTATTTTGCTCTTAAAGGCAAAGCAATAAGTTATGGCCATTTTATGTTATTGTGGCTCGCACGTTAAAAAAAAATAATAAAAAAAATATGACACTTCTTTTATGTATTTTTCTTTATATATTTTTTTTATACCACTGAGATGGCAAACAAGCATACGGCCCACCTGACCGTAAACGATTACCTTTAAATGCCTGTAACACCAGAGGTATTACTCGCGCGTTGCCGACCCTAAGGAAACCTTTTTATCTTTAAGTAGCCTCTAAGATGGCTTGGTTCGCGTACAACCGACTATGCGGGAAGATCTGTTCATGACTTTGCTTTGGCTTATGGTCTGACACAGCTTGTTTCCTCGCCTACGCGAATCCCTGATGTGTTGGACCATTCACCTTCACTGCTGGACCTTCTGCTGACCACCCACCCAGACAACTATGTGATCTCCGTCGAAGCCCCGCTTGGATCGTCGGATCACTGTTTGGTGCGGAGCGAAGTGCCTCTTACGAGTCCGACTCCACCTCGTTCTACGGGTAGACGTCGCATTTGGCACTACAGGTCGGCAGATTGGGATGAGATGCGGATTTTTTTCGCATCTTACCCATGGAGGCAGGTTTGCTTTACACTGGATGATCCCGACGCCATTGCCGATTCCATTGCTGATGTGGTGCTTCAGGGAATGGAATTATTTATTCCTAACTCTGTGGTGCCCGTCGGCGGGAAATCCCAGCCCTGGTATGGAGCCTCCTGTAGAACAGCATCTCGTCTGAAACAGGAGTGCTTCCTAACCTGGGCTAAAGGTGTGGCGTCGCGAGATCCTAACACCAGTGCTCTTAAAAAGAAGTATAACTCTGCCTCTAGGTCTTTCAAAAGAGTTATAGCCACAGCGAAGTCAGAGCATATTAGTAGAATTGGCAAGAGACTGGCTAGTTTGCCCTCTGGGACTCGAGCTTTCTGGTCTCTTGCCAAAGCTGCACAAGGGAATTTCTGTAAGTCATCTTTTCCACCTTTGCGCAGGGAGGATGACTCGTTGGCCCAGAACGCTAAAGAAAAGGCCGATCTTCTTGGATCCATCTTTGCGTCAAACTCGACATTGGATGACGGGGAGAAACCACCACCGACCATCACGTGTTGTAGGAGCTCTATGCCTGACATTAAATTCACGCATAGCTCAGTGCGTAGAGCACTTTTCTCCCTCGAAATCCATAAGTCGAGTGGGCCTGATGGTATTCCTCCAATTGTGCTTAGGACGTGCGCACCAGAGTTGGCTCCGGTTCTTACGCGTCTTTTTCGGCTTAGCTACTCATCGGGCATAGTCCCAAAGTTTTGGAAGACTGCTCTGGTGCATCCGATCCCTAAAAAGGGAGATCGCTCAGATCCAGCTAACTATAGGCCCATAGCTATCACTTCCTTATTCTTGAAGGTTATGGAATCCATCATTAACCGTCAACTGCTCCGGTACCTAGAAGAGCACCGGCTGATCTGTGATCGCCAGTATGGCTTTCGACAGGGACGTTCGGCCGGTGATCTTTTAGCTTACTTAACACACCGATGGGCAGTGGCAATCGAGAGTAAGGGAGAGGCCTTAGCAGTTAGTCTGGATATTGCGAAGGCCTTTGATCGGGTGTGGCATAGAGCGCTGCTTTCAAAGCTACCTTCATTTGGGTTGCCTGCGAGACTGTGCATTTGGGTCGCCAGTTTTCTCAAGGAACGTAGCATTAAGGTCGTAGTCGACGGTGCATGCTCTGATTTAAAACCTTTGAATGCTGGTGTCCCGCAAGGCTGTGTACTATCTCCGACTCTGTTTCTTCTGCATATCAATGATATGTTACAGATAAGTAATATTCATTGCTATGCGGACGACAGTACAGGAGATACATTATATACCGGTCATGCAAAGATCTCGCGGGCACATACCGATGAGTGCCGGAATAGACTTGTGTCTGAAATCGAAACTTCACTCCATCAAGTTTCGATCTGGGGTGAACAAAATCTTGTCCAATTTAACCCCAAAAAGACACAAGTCTGCGCGTTTACCGCAAAAAAGACGCCGTTTGTCGTATCTCCTCACTTTCAGGGCACTTCCCTTGATAAAAAGTCAAGTCTAGGAATTCTGGGCGTTGATATATCTTGCGACGTCCAGTTTTGCGGTCATCTGGAGGAGAAGGCTAAGATAGCTTCCAAAAAGTTAGGAGTGCTCAATAGGGTGAGACGATATTTCATGCCAGAACACCGCCTGAAATTATATAAAGCCCAAGTCAGGCCGCATATGGAATACTGTTCTCACCTGTGGGCAGGAGCGCCACAGTACCAACTCCTTCCGTTAGACCGCATTCAAAGTCGGGCGGCTCGAATTATCGATAGTCAACGCCTTACTGTCCGACTTGACCCATTGAAATTGCGCAGAGATGTTGCGTCTCTGTGCATCTTCTACCGAATTTATCATGGGGAGTGTTCTGAGGAATTGTTCGAATTGATACCTGCTGCTGATTTTCACCACCGTACAACCCGCCACAAACTAAAGTTTCATCCCAATCATCTGGACGAGTGGCGGTCTTCCACCGTGCGTTTTTCAAGGCACTTTCTTCCACGCACAACCATTCTTTGGAATCAACTTCCAGCAGCAGTATTTCCGAACCGATACGACAACATAACCTTCAAGAAAAGAGTATATTCCTTTTTAAAAGGCCGGCAGCACACCTGCAATGCCGCTGGTGTTGTGGGTGATCATGGGCGGCGGTAGTCACTTACCATCAGGTGAGCCGCATGCTCGTTTGCCCCCTGTGTTGTAAAAAAAAAAAAAAATAAGAAAAACCTCGACAGGGTTCATTCCATAACCTGAGCGTTCGTGGAATTGTCTCAATCGTATTTCAGTCATGTAGCTGTATTGTATTTGATGGAGGACAGGTTTATCCCACCCTTGACCTAAAACCTTCAGTTACATTACAGAAATTTCACTGCAAAATAAACCTAGAGATATTACATAGAGACAAAATAGAATAAAGTATAACTTACACCTAGGAAAGCTTCATTAGCTCCTAAACCTTATCTAGGTTTATCTTATTACATAGATTACCTTCTCATTACATACCTCATCCAAGTCTTTCCTGTGCCTGGACGACAGCTTCCGGCCCAGTAACTCCCTAATGACTGCGTCATCTAACTCGTAATATCTGTCCAATGGATACAGAAATCATAAATTTATAAAATTGCCTGTGAATTACATGATTTGACACATTATTGGTAAAATCGAGCTGTCCCTTAGACCAGTGCAAATTCTATCGACAAAGACATTTCCGCCAATACATTAATTAATGACAATTGTATTATTTTTATTTTATTTCTTATTGTGTTCTATAATGTTTTTTTTTATATATATATAATTGTTTTTATTTTTATTATATAATTGTTGTTTGAATCGAAGCATTTGGCGTTCCATTGTTTCTGCCTACCCTAATGGGAGACAGGCGTGCCAGATATGTATGTATGTATGTAATCTTACTTCTCAATCAGCATATGTTTGGTAGCTTCATCAATTTGGAAGATCATCTGTTCCGATAGCTTTGATGGCACTGTAAGGAGCCTCTCCAGGAGAGCAAATGTTCTGAAACATATAAAATTTACTTATTTAATCAAATAATTACGAATTTATGCACATGTATAATTCACCATAGCAAAGCATGATACGGTAGGATTTTACCATCACAATTTCATAGGAGAACGAAAATTATACAGTTGTATAAAGAAACCTTTTTAATTTTTGTGATATTGAAAGTGGACAATAGATGAATTGTGTAAATTGTGAAATATTTGCATTCCATTTCCATTACCAGCATTGTGAAAATAATAGGTTGTAAATTAAGTAAAGAAAATTAATTATATGGAAATATTAATCTCACCGTGTGGTCCCGGCATAGAATAAACCACCCATTCCTTTCTCGTGGATGTTGTAAGAGGCGACAAAGGGAGCTTATGGTTGAAGGATAGGCAGCAACATCCCTCTTAAAATTACTCTAAAAGCCTAACAGTTGTTACAAAAACACCTAACAAGCATGGTAACTACTGACAACATCCCCTTATGGGGAAAGCCTATGTTCATTAAATACTGAAATAATTATAATAAAAAAATATCGACTAAAACAAAATAAATAAAATTTATATTTTTGGACATCTTACAATTTAATAGTATAAATTTAATAGAGAAAAGAAAATATAAACTATGTATGCTAATAGACAGCTTCATCATCATCAATTCAGCCAGCCATTGTTCACTTTCGGAAATGAATATGCAATGCTCTTCAACAGATCTGTCTGTCGGTACGTACTATCCAAAATTGGAGAATATTAAAAACCAAACTCCATGCCTTTCTGTTGGAAAAATTTATTTATAAAATAAATGAATTTTAGAGATATATTAATTATGAGTTGCATTTAGTTACTTGTTTTTTTTTTGACTGAAATTGTTATTATTTATTTATTTATTACATCCACTGAGTGAGCCTTACAGTCTTCCAATACGCCCACCCAGGAAAGCATGAGTACAATAACATATAAAAAGGAATATTACACATATATAACAAGAATAATATAAAAAGACTTAACCCATTCAATACGGCGGCCATATTGAGATCCCTATGCAGTATACGGCTTAGTTTTTCATAAACGGCCGTCACTGACGGCACAACTTTTTCTACGTATATGGCTTAGTTAATTGTTAGGAGTGACTGCCAGTAAATAACGGGCTTCCACAAGTGACTGGAACGGTCTAAAGCACGTTTGAAACTAAAGGAAACCGAGCGCCTCGGAACGCTCGCCGTCATTGGGTAAGGGCGGGGAGAGCGCCTCGAGGCGCTTGCCGTCACAACGTATAACATTGGACAGCGCCCTGGCGCGCTCTCCGTATTCAATGGGTTAAACAAAAACGTGTAAACACAAATACTCTGTGGTCACACGACGAAACTCCAACAAGTTATTATTATTAATTAATTACTTGTATCTGACATTGTTTATATGTAAAACTCTTATCATATTCGACACAATGTAATATTGTTATGAATAAATTGAATTTAATTAAATACAAATATATTTGTAACTGTTACCTGTAATGATCAAGAACATCGCTAGCAATCAGTTCAACAGATGCGCCGGTCTGCTTGGCGATGGCTCGCTGATGCAATGTAGATACCGCCTCACTAGCTGAAAAACAAAGTTCATGTTTCAATGTCTTTATATAATTTTCTTCATTATACTCAATAGATAGATAGATAATTTATTTACATTACTTACAACACACAAATTACAATAAAAAAACATACACATAATATATAGTAAAAGAGATAAAAGAATAAAAAAAATAAAAAAGCAAAAAAACAAAAACCAACAATACAATTACAAATTACACTGGTTTCTTTTAAGTTTTGTATATTTGCTTATTTGGATTCCATAATGGTGCTATAGGTGTCTATTTTTATAATACTATTATAATGAGCAATTATGGACCCTGTTAGGCACAACAAGTAACAATTGGAGAGATGGCATTAATGTATTTTTTATAAAACAATTATTATTCATAATTTATTTTATACAATATCAGTAATAAATTTTTAATTGAATGGATCACATTTCAAACATCAAATAATGGCAATAAAACATCAAGTATGCAGGTACTATTTGCCTATAATCACATTGTTTTAAGTTATTAATTTAAAATATGTGCTTTTTTTATACAACTTAGAATGGCAAACAAGCTGACGGCCCACCTGATGTAAAGTGGTAACCGTCGCCTATAGACATGAGCAGTACCATGGACATAATAGAGTATACAGTTTCGCCCATGATACCCCCCATGCGTTGCCATTCCTGTGGACTCAGGTGTTATTCCTCTGTACTCAGCAGATTCACGCCATATCCCACCCTTCAAACCGAAACACAGCCATGCAAACACAACTGCTTCACGGTTGAAACATGAATGGGACAGACGTACCCAAGCAATTGACTTTTGTACAAAGTCTCCCTCTGGTAATGTTATTATTGTATATTAATATTTTTATATTTTATTTAACTGTATATTTGTTTATGTATTAATAGTTGTAGCACTTCAGCTGCCCGCTAACGAAATGCTTTCTCACTGTACTGGGTTGACTGGAAGAGATCTCTGTCAGAGATAAGTCCACCCTTGCTCACAACATTTATAAATACATTATTTTATATGTAACTTACAATTACGTGCAATAAAGAATATATAAATAATGTGAAAGTTTTATCCAATGCCCATGTTATGATAGTCACAGGTTTAATTCCTGCACAATATAAACATGTAAGAGTGTCTGTTTGTATTGGTCTGTTTTCTATGTATAACAAGCATGTATTTACAACAAAAAAAAGGCTTTCTTAGTTTAGGACTACATGATGGCGTTATATGATCAGTGAGGGGAGAGGGTCATTAGTAATAGAGTCCAACAGTCATATTGGTAATACCCTATCAGATCATCCTCTATCTAGTTCCCCCAACAACCATCATTGATAATTTCTTATCAAAGTCATCACAATGTGATAGATTATATGGTCCACTTTCATCTATCAACCCTCACTAGTGCTCCACTAGAGTATACCGATAGTATTAGCGAAAATATCAGTTTATTTCACCCATTAAAACAATATATCCCGTGGTAGGTATTTATTATTATAGCTAACATATTTGTAGGTAGGTAAGTACTTTAGTGTATCTGTCACATTTTAGGTCTATGAACGAAAATGGAAACTAGTCCCCTATTGGCAACAAGATAGAACCACTCCAAAAAGAGATACAATCAATATTATCTGTGCGATTTTTATCAAAACATTCTGATAAATACTTATTAGAAACTTACAAGAGCATCCTTCAATCCATAATTGGTATATTTCAGGATCAATTAAAGTATAATTACTAACGAAAACGTCCACTTCTGTATACATTTCTTAAAGATTTTTATTACTTGATCTCTTCTTATAATTTTATTTTAATAACAATAAAATACAAATAAATATTGGAGTAATTGCAATAACGACCTTGACTGACGTATATCAATGTCATTGTCAATTTGTTTGACGGTTGGAAATAATCGTAGAAAAAGAATTCTGATCCTCAATCTATGAGAACAACTCAAAGACGCAATGACTCAATACACTTATTACACATATTAAAACTTTAGACACTTCAAGTATCTATCTACCTTTCAAAGGAACTAATTCGTCCAATATCTTTCAACAATAATTACTGCCTAGTATAATGAAATATGTCATTTTGGATGATAAATTTAGGGATAAAGAAGTGTAAAATGGCTATAGCAATCAACCAAGTTTATCTCCATAAATACAGCTAAGTAAGTTATTTTAAATTACAAAAATAAGTTTGTAACTTTTTTAAATAGAATATACAATATAATTATTTAGTTCTCAAAATAAAGCAGTTTAGTTCTGTCTTTAGCCTACACTGTTGACAATAGTAAAAAATACGAAATTGACGTGTACGTTCCGAACTATGATATTACTTTTATCAAGTATTATATGAAATAATTATTTTATTTTTCAATATTTTTAATTCATTATATTTAAATAAATATGTTTATTTATTATCAATATATTAAATACATTACATATTAGACTTGAAATTATCATTAAAATGTTTTCTTTTTACTTTTTCTTGCGCATTAATATCAATTGTTTACATATTTTAAACGTATTTTTACCATTGATTTTTTTCGTGCACAAAAATTAATAAAATACTAAGAATTAGTCCTTGTTTTGTTTAGAAGTTGAATTAAATAAGTAAGTACGCTTTTTAGAATCTAACCAAGTCAACAAGTATCTTAAGATTATTTTAAATATATGACTTATTTAAAAATCTAAATGTTTTCCTTCAGTTGTTTTTTTTTAGTGCCAAAAATAGAATTTCGATGTTTTAATGTGCGTGATGTCCGTGTATCGTTATTGTATTATTTCTAGGATAGTTCATTTTAACCTTTCGCGTTGTTTACTCATATTTTAAAAACACGATCGGGACGCAACGCATCGAAAATCTTTGCAGGTAAATAGTACCTACGTATCTGCTTCTTTATTGCCGACGAAAAGTCGGAAAAAATTTAATAGGGAAGATAGATATAGGTTTTCAACAACATGGGATCCAGTGATTAGTACATTAAAAATACGCGATAATTTGTTTAAACCCAGTGTGGATACTGTGAGTGCAGTGTGTAGGGTAATAATAGTGACTGTGTGAGGGACTGGAAGAGACTGGGTTACCAGACTAAGACACCGCTCACTTAATCCTGTCGTGACCACGGCGTAGTGCAATCCACATCAAAACGTTGGCAATAAAGGAGCAGGTATGTAAATACTATTTGCCTGCAAAGGTTTTTTATCATGTTAAGTCCCAATTATGTATTCTAATTATTTTAGCCTATCGGAGCTAGCAAAGGTATTAATTACTTAATACTTTACTAATAATTACTAATTACTTAATTTAATTTTAGAATGTAGTTAAATATCAATAAGCATTTGAATCAAAGGTCTATGTTTAGCAGTGGACTCACTCGGTTCACTCCTGTTATATTATTATTTACAAAATAATCAGGCTGTAATCAGGCTTTATTCCCATGGTTATGGAACAATTAAAAGCTAAAATTATCTATAATGTGTTGTATAGTCAGACTAATGGTAAATTGAAATTGTTAGCTGCTTGTTTTGTTTCAAGATTAAAATTTTTGGCATAAAATTAATAAAAAACAAGTTTTTTGACTTAACCCTTTCCACTCCAATGTTGAATGTCACTCGACATTGATTTTGTTCCACCAGCTCCATTGTTGAGTGACACTCGACATAGTGTAATACTTCTTTTTGCGGAAACAAAGTGTGAAGCTGGTGGAATGAAAAGAAAAAAAAGGCTTGGAGTGGAAAGGGTTAAGGTTTTATTTGTTTTTTAAATGTTTGAAGTAGAATGGAAGTAGAAATAGAGCCCCATCTGTGATAGTTGTATACATTGATGGAACATCAGTAAGTGTTGATAGGCGAAAATGAGATCTGCTGGGACAAATTTATTAATTCAGATAGATTTTTATAGAAATTGATTCTATTTTAATCTATTTTACAAATAAAATATATTTTTAATTTTTACTGTTACTTCTAAATCACTGCAAGATCTATCTATCTTTTTCTCCTCTTTAGTGGTAGGTAGGTACTGTTACATAGCTTTAATTATGTACAACATATGAATGCGAAAGTGCTGAACTGCATTCTCGGGACCGTCAACAATTAACAATAGTATATACATCATGCCATGGATTTCCAGGGATTTTTCATTAAAATCAAAATTAATTTGAACCTCAAAGGAACAACACATTATACTATTTTTATATTCTTATAATATATTTCCTATCAGTGAAAGAAATTTGTTTTGATTAAAGACTTGTGTTAATTAAAATATCTTTTTTCAAAAAGGTCTCATTTGACCCCCCACCCCCCACCCCTCCCGTAACAGTACTATACCACCAGGCTATTATATACTTGTAGTAAATAACAGAAATATAACATTTTTGCAGAAAGATGTCAGATAACGAAGACTCTGTCTCTGTCTTACATGATTCCGACAACCTGCAACAAGAATCAGAAAATTTGAAACAGGAATCGGAGCGCCTGCAGCATGACTCTCAGGAAATTATGAACATGTTTGCAAGTGTTTGGGTGAAGGTGGAAGTTGATGAGGATCCCAGTGCTGACTTGCCGAATGCGGATGATGTGTAAGTTTTCTTTAAGGTATTTTTTTTTTAATTAAAATTTAATCTAAGCTTACCTGCATTATTAGTATTCCCTAATAAGGCACAAATAAGGGATGATAGGTGAGGATGAAAGCAAATTGGTCCATCATAACTAATTTATCAAGAAGTAACTTTAATCAATGTGATAGGATATATTGCTAGCAATAGGATCACTACCCTCCATTACTGACAATCTCTTCCCCTCCTTGAAAGTCTTTATTATTCTTGCCACAGTAGAACAAGCACATAAAATTTCAACCTTTAAATATGGGACAAGTTAGAGGGACTTTTAAGCAACTTGTTTTACATATTGTGTTCCATATTTCAGAAATGCAGGCGCCGATTGCGAAGAGAAGAACAAAAAACAACGTCGCTTTACAAAAACTTTGACCTGTGACGTCTGCAACTACACCACCGTCTACAAAAACTGTCTGGAACTCCACATGCTCGGCCACAATAACTCGAAGCCTTACGGCTGTAATCAGTGTGATTACACGACGAAATACCCAACGGCATTGTACCGACACGTCATGATCAAACATGAGAAAAAGGGATCCGAAGAGAAACAAGTACCTGTACACAAATGCGACCAATGCGACTACACGTCTTATTTCAAATGGAACTTGAGTGCGCACAAACGCAAACACAAGCTGGAGAAACAATTCAAATGCAAACATTGCCCGTACGCAACTGCTTACAGGCATAACTACCAGAAACATGGCAAAATACACAACGAGAATATGTGCTTCAAATGCGATAAATGTCCGTTCGTGACGAAATTCGAAGGACACATCACTAGGCATCTGGCGAAGATACACAACGAGGTGACGGAGAAGGCGAATAAGTGCGACATGTGCGACTTTTCAACCAAAACAAGATGGCGGCTGAATGTCCACAAGCAAAGGAGTAAGCAGGAGACCATACTGAAGTGCGGGTATTGTGAATTTGAAACATACTACATGTGCGAGAGTAAAAAACACAAAGTGACTCACTACAACCTTATTTATGGCAGTGGGAAGATACTGCACAATGTACAGACGCAGCCGAGCCAAGAGAAAACTGTTAAATTGGATGACACATATCAGTATGCTACACACAACACAACAATGGATGATGCAGATAAATATCAACACGATTCTAACCTCCAAAAGTATCATTTGGATCCGAATTGCGTCGATTGGAACAGCATCCAAGTGTTAGAGTCTGAGGACAAGGAGCGGCCATTTCAATGCCACATGTGCGCCTATACGTCACGATTCAAGGCGTCAGTCCAACGCCACTTTCAAAGGCACCACACTGGCACCCAGAACCGACCGTACAAGTGCGTAAACTGCGATTTCTCCACTAAAACAAAGGATCAAATCGCTTTGCACAACAAACGGAGCCAGTCCGATACAGAGCTGTTCTGTGCCATATGCAAATTCACCACTCACTTCAAATGCCAGTATGTGATGCACCAAAAATTACACTATGAACACAAGTGTCCGAAATGTAACTACTCTTGTAAGCACAAGTACGAATTACAGAAGCATTACGCTACAATACACTTGGGGAACGGGCTGAAATGTCAATACTGCGATTATAAAGCTGCAAGAAAGGAGAGTTTGCTGTGCCACGAGACCATCCACACTGGTATCAAGCCATTTAAGTGCAACTACTGTGACTATATGTCAGTAAGGAGGTCGCTACTGAGCAATCACATCAAGAGGTACCACACGGACGTGGTGACTGATGTGACGGTGGTAAGCGACAGTCGAGTAGAGGAGTTGAGACTGCCAATAGATAGTCTGGACAAGTTTAAAAACATAGATTTGGACTGTCAAATGGATTTAGCCTGATGGGATTTTAGTTTTAGCTAGATTGTACATATTTATGTATATGGGATTTGTTTGAAGAAAATTGTTTGGTGTTTATAATTAGAGATTTATATGGAAGTCTGGTAATGTCTGTATTATCTATCAATTTTAAAAACTATTTTCAATTTTATGAATGATTTTTTCAAATATTATTTTATAACAAATTAAACATGTATAAATTTATAATTTATATATTGGAAATCCAGAAGTGTGGGTATATAGATATTAGTTCTAAATTGAACTTCATTTTATATTTTAAATTGACAGATAATGTGAATATTGCCATAATTCATTATTAATACTCTTAATAATGAGAAATTAGAATGGAAATTAAAAATATATTGATTTGTTTATAATTAAAGTGATAATGAAATCACAAAAAGAAGTGCATAGTGCTGACAAATTTGTAAGATGGTGTTTGCTTACCATTGTGTTAGGGCCATATTAGTGCGCTTTAAGCACGTGCTCGGTCCGCAGCATGTGCTCAAGGCTGGATTAAGCTAGGAGGAGGCCCCCGAAGTAATGCTAATCTTGGACCCCTCTTTTAACCTACACCAATGATTTCGTTTTAAATCATCAAATTAAAATGACTCTTTTATATTTGTAGTTTATCTGTTAGAATAGAAATTTTAAACCCATAAACAAGTAAATTGCAAATCCTACCCCATGTTGAGCGTTGCCGCCTTTTATGGGCAGTAGCACCTAGATATCAGCTTGAACCCTTCGACTCAGTGCAACGACGAGCTATGACAATTGTCCATAATCCCAGGCTTGCAAATCGAACCCTTAAGTCTTAGGAGAGATTTTGCTTCGCTCTGCGTGTTCTACCACTTGTACAATGGATTGTGCTCAGAGGAATTATTCAATATGATGGCCACGGCCACTTTCTATCATTCATCACCATCAAGAAGGTGATAAGACCTCTATACCTTAGAGCCTAGATGGTCGCGTACAACGTGGTTTTAGAGATGTTTTTTTTTCCACGAACGCCCAGGTTATGAAATGAACTCCCTGTCGAGGATTTTCAATGAGACAGCATGGGGTTATTCAAAAAAGAGGGTAGAAGGTTCTTCAGGGTCGGCATCGCCCGCGTAATACCCCTAGTATTGTGTGCGTTCATGGGCATATATTACTAGCAGTGAAGCCCATCCCTCCCCCCTGCCACTTCTCTTATGGGCCATTGTCCATGGTTACTGTCTGGCTTGTGGGGCCTCTTCTATTGTTTATATTTTTATATTGAAATATAGTTCGGGACTACATGCATCTGACCTGTCTACAAGATGTCTGCATACACAGTAGTTTTGGTCACAATCTGCTTTGAAGTCTCGTTTTTAAGAGATATTTTGATATTTTTAAAACATAATATTTAGTCTATGAATTTTCTCCTACGAATTTTTTTAAGAAATTAGGAGTTCGGGTTACTCTTTGATGTACAATAATTGGAGAATGTTTGTGATTTTAGATTTTGGCGTAGTGTACGCTGGATGCGTCGTGCGCCAAACATACTATTAGCAGTGTACGGGTTCCATGTAACTCTGTCTCGCTCTAACGTATATTGTTGTCTACGTGTTAACTGTATGTGCATTTGTTTTTAATTTATACATGTGTGGTCCGATCGCTCAACGTATAAACTATTTCAATAGAACCTAATGGAAATGTAAACAACAAAGTACAAAAATACTATTATTTGATTTATTTAATTTTCGTTTTGTTTCTGTGATTATTTTAACAAAATTTATTTTTCGTCAAGTTCTATTAAAATAGAATATGGTATGTCACTATATTGAAATCGCTTCGGTTTTCCTACTTATGTATTTTTATTTTAATGGATGATAATGGAATGGTAACCCCACCCGCGCTATCGGTATACACCGGCGGGGCACCAGTGAAGGATGATAGGTGAGGATGAAGTAGGTCAGTTGGCCTATCGTGACGAATTCAACAAGAATTGTTCACGATGGTTTCCAGGGGGAACCACGTGGAGGTCAACCTAATAAGGCATATTGCTAGCAATGGGGCGGTCAACCTCTATTGCTAACAATCCCTCCCCCCCCTACTTATGTATTATATTTTGGGGTTTCAGTTACCCGGGTGGGCATTGGCCACATTCATTGTGCTATCGGTTTTATTTATATTGCCTACTTAATACTTGTTAATTAATTTGGCGTTCTATTGAATATTAAAAGTTACTGGTATCATTACGTTGATATATTTGCTGCCATAGTGGGTGGCAATCAAGAGGAACTGTTAATGAATCTGACGATACAGTTAGTTTCGAATCGATTGTTTTACGTCTAAAATTATAGCTGAAACAAATTTCCCTCATTAAACATTTAAAAAAAAAATGCGATTTTGATTTTTTTTGTGTCAGTTTTAACATTTTCCTAATATATATTTAGGAATCTCTATTTTTGTAATAGTTGTGGTCGCTATTGTTATAGGTAGGTATATAAATTTTGTGATATCTATTTTTCATTAAAACCATTGGAAAGGAACCTTTAAATTGACTTATATAATCGTGATATTATATATATATATTTAAAAATGTATTTAAAAAAATGGGCATTTCAATACGAGGTATAAAAAATAGGCCCTTTCATTGTTGTTCAACTGCAATTTGTAACATTTTGTGCATAATCTTTATTCCATTTTTAATTTTTTTTCTTGTTGAACGTAATTTTGGGGGTTGTATTGCATTTTACATTTTATTTTATAGCGTTTCGAATGGCATTCACAAAATTACGTTCGTCTGGTCTCAGCCTTAGACCGTAAGTTAAATAGATGATATGATTATATTTAGAATATATGTATAATGTAAAGATAATTCTTAACTATTTTAAATAAATACAGTAGAGATGAATGTTTTTTTTATTCACCAGTTTTTTTTTATTTTTTCCTCATTAAACCTCTTGCATTTTTTTGACATCATATTGTAACAAAAACAAAGAACATTGTTTTGGTTTCAAAAGTGACAATTTTAGCTGGAGATATGGAACCTTAACACTATATAAATATTGTCCATAGTTTACTCGACCTTGCTTGTTTACCAATTTCCATTCCTAGTTTTTAAAGTTTGCCGTCTTCGTGATATAAAAAAAAAAATAGTACAAAAACGGAACGAATTCTTCTTAATGAGCATATAAATTTAGGAGTAATTATTCCTCGCTTTTATATTTACATAAGGTGCACGTTATTTTGGAATTAAATAAAAGTACAATATCAAGGACAAACCTTTTATTCAAATTTCATTGTGCATATTTCTGTAGATATAAAAAAATATGGCAAAATAAAATTAACAGCGTGCATTCACTTTGAGATAAAATAAAATACAGCGTTCGCCAACCACGCTCTTTCAAAAACCATTGAGAATAAAAAATGTCCACTAATTATAACAACAATTTTATACATAATTATCTGACAAAAATAATTGTCTCAACTTTTTTTTATCGTCGATATCCTACAGACGGAAGCTGGTCATAGACTAGATTGTACGGAATTCGTGTACAGCTCTCGATAAAAGAACGCTAACACGATCCCCAAGCGATAAAAGTTACGTTCCCGCCAATTTGATTTGCAAAATGACATTTTAAAAGTCAAAATGGCGGTTCGCATAACCGTCAATTTGTTTCATCGTAATATCAATAATTCTTAGAAACTATACTCGATCAATCCAAAATATTACAAGTAATCTGCAATTAAGTGATGTTTCGCTCATGAAATTAACCTGCCATGTTTATAATAACACATTAATTATATAATATTAATTCTTTTAATTTCACAACAAACTGATAACGCTTGCAGTAAGTACTTAGAATATTTTCGATTAACAATATGTCGTATATATTTAATTAAACAAATACATACAATTATCTATTCTAAGCAGCGAGAGACTAGAATTTAAATGGCATCTACGTAACGTATGTATACATATATATATTATAGTTTATACATTTTTTTTATAGATCGCTCGTTGTTTTTGTTTTGTTATTGTATTCGAGTTGTATTTAATATCTTTAAAATTAAGCACCAATTAGAAAATACTTTATTCCATACAAAATGTATGAGTATGACTTAATATAATAGAACTTCAAGTCAAATATGAATTCATTAATGATATTCAACAACCACAAAAACTATACTTATCACTTACACGTTTAGTGAAATAGCATTATTTATTGCCACACACGTCGCCATCAAAACATCCTTACAACATACTCCGAGAGTTTCATAGCAACATTTAGCATTATACTAAGATACGTTTCAATTTTAGTTTGTTCATAACATTTGGGTCGATTCTAAGTGATAAATTCTCAACTTGTTTCTTTAATTAAATATTTTAATTCGATAATTTGGCGAAATTACTGTATTATGGACGATCATAAACTAGATATATAATCATTTAAATTTATTATAAATTTAGTTTATATTAGAATAAAAAAAATCGCTGTGTCATCAAATTCAGATATTAATTTTAAAGATACGTTTAGAATCGACCCCATAGTTGCTCATTAACGGAGAATTTGTGGTAAATTTAAATTGAACATATATTTAGTAGTGTTCCATTCGTCACAACCTCCGCGACAGACACATGATTCACATATATTTTAGAATCTAGAATAATATTTGACACGCAACATACATTTATGAGTATCCCGAAACTCGACCCGGCGACGTTCGGTCGAGACCCTAGAGCCGAACTACCTCGACCACTGCACCTATACGAGTACTTCTGAATACAACAACATAACAAAAACCATTTTGAAAATCAATTTGGAATTTAACAAACTACCCGTGCCAACATACAATTTGCCAAAATTCTAAATGTACAGTACGAGCACCGCACAGCTTACTTTGTCGCGGTACATTACCGTTTCAACGCTACACTAGTCCTTCATATGCCGTATTTTTCCAAAAATATTTTATTATTTACGACATTTAAACCTTTTTGTTGTGTTTGCTTCGAAGTTATTACAGTAAAAAAAAAATAGCACAATACAATTCCAAACCTATTTAAAAAACTATAATATTTAAAATAAAGTAAATAGAATTTAAGATATCAAAGAAATTAGACACACAATGGCTAATTAAAGAGATAAAGAAATAACGGATTGAAATTCTAAATGGCGGCATTTAAAATTAAATATTTGCACGAGATTCAGAAAGTAACGTACTACTAATGTCAATTTCCTATACATTTTTAAACCGCCACAAAATAACTGCATAACTTCGATGCCAACACCGACTTACAGACTTGCGTTAAAGCAAAACACGATTTATTATCATAATACAGTTCAAAATAAAATAGCACGTTTATTAAAGAGATGCTTCTCTCGTTTAAAAAGCCAATTATTTAAATCCGCTGTACATATATTATTTATAACAATAATTGTATTCACAATTTAAACAAGTTTTCTCTTTGCAAATAAAATGATATATATTCAGTGTATTTTATAATATACAATTACAGAGACAGTATTTAGCAGTACTGATTATAGTTGAATAAATAAATAATTTTATTTCAATATTAACATTATACACTAATAGGGGGGGAAAGGTACTGTTAGCAGTGGGGTCAAATAGCCCCATTACTAGCAATATATCCTGTCAGGTCGACCTCCACGCGGTTCCCCCTGGAAACCATCGTGGCTAATTCTAGTTGAATACGTCACGATGGGCTAACTGACCCGCTTTCATCCTCATCAGTCATCTATCACTGGTGCCCCGCCAGTGTATACCGATAGCGCAGACGGGGTTACCATACCATTATCACCCATTAAAAAAAAATACACTAATAATTGTTAATTAGTCAGAATATTAAGTCTCGTGAGGCAAAAACCTATAAAACTAGATAAATAGGGGAAAATACATTTCTGATGGTGACCTTCGGAAGATACTGCATTCCAAAATCCATACATAGCCTCATGCTTTGCTGCTCCTAAGGACTTGATTATTGAGGTCGATTCTTTAAATTTTTATACAACTGAGGTGGCAATCAAGCATACAGTTCACCTGATGGTAAGCGGTTACCATTAGCCTATGAACGCCGGCAATATTGGGGGAATTACGCGCGCTTTGCCGACCCTGAAGAAACCTTTACCCCTTTTTTTACCCCTGACATTGGATCAGTTACCGACTCCAAATTCAGAACAAAGCTGACTTGCTACTTTTATTTAAATAAAAATCGAGCGAATACAGTACTATCGATAGTATATTGGCACCGACTCGAATGTTCCTATCGTCGAATATTTACTTTTAACCGCTACTCTGTAACACAAAACGTGTGTGTATTGTGATTTTGAACACCTATTTTATAGGGTTTTGATTGGCTTTGTGTGACGTCACTTACAATATGGCCGAAAGATTTTTTATATATACATTCTTTTTTTTTATGATTACCGAACATATATCATTTTATTGGTAAAACTACATTTCCTTTATAAGAACCTATAAACTAAATCGAAAATTAGAACTGTTGAACTGTTTAAAAAATAAATACTTTTGTACAAACGTTAAACTTACGTATCGACATATATCCTTTTCACACTCGTTGGTCTACCATAATTTAGAGCGAGACGCAGCTATATCGTCATCTAACAGTGGTATGTCAAATGCATTTAACATTTAAAAAAATATTTCAAACATCGAGATATCAGTCAAAAATGGTCACTTATTGATATATAGAGCTTTGTGACGTACTCGTTACAACATTTTGAGTAATTTTGCAAAAGTATCGATACATTTCGGGAAAGCTTTAAATAACAAGATTTCTCTTATGGGTGAAAGCTTATATATTCTCAAAGAAAAAAAAGGGGGGTAAAATGACATGCAACATTACAACAATACATTAGTATTCAGTTACCTCACAAATATTACAAATTTACCCAAAATGTTTACATAAGAAGATAGTTTCCTACATTTTATTGAATGCAAATTTGCACATAGGTAATTAATATGTTATATCACGAATCATTAAAAGCACATAAATAAAAAAAATCACTAGATATAGTACCCAATGTATCTATCGATGAATTACTATTTCATTGATAATTGTCTAGTTACATTTAGTGTACATTTATTCAGTACTAAATCTAGTCTTAGTGGGCTTAAAATGTTGCTTAAAACATAGGTTTTATGTTATATTGTGAATCGTAGAATGTAATATCAAAACATATGAAAAGAAAGTGGGTGTATGCAGGAACCAGGGGACCTAACCTGCCTTTCTGGGGGGAAAGGGATTATTAGTAAGGGAGACTGAGAATCCTATTGCTAGCAATATACCCAACCAGGTCGAGCTCCTCGCGGTTCTCCCTGGAAACTATCATGGTTAATTCCTGATGAATTCATCATGATGGGCTAACTGGTCTGTTTTCATTCTCATCTATCACCCTTCACTGGTGCTCCGCCAGCGTATCCCGTTAGCGCAGGCGGGGTTACCACACCATTTTCACCCATCAAAACAAAAACCCGTCTTTCTAGACGAATAACAAATAAATCTACCATGAGATACGCTTTCGTCGTCGGATATGTGTGAGAAAAAAAAATGCTGGATATTGTTTTCTCGCTCTATCACATGCAGACGAGATTGAAGACGTAACCATTGAGATATCCATTTGAAATTTGTCTATGGGGCTAGTCTATCACAATTAGACGGTCTCGGGGGAGGCAAAAGGTCCCAAAAGAGTCGCAAGGTTACAGAACTGAGGTAATCGAAAGAAGCAAGAGAAGCTGTTGGTATTTTAGTTATCTGGGGTGAAGCTAGAAGGCAAATTGTCTATGCAAGATAATAAAAAAAAAAACATTTATCTATGACGTACGCAACATTTTAAGTGGGAAAATAAATTTACAATAAAGTAATATACTTAAATTAAATACAAGTAATAGTGAGCTATATCAGATTCTCCAGGTGTCCGTCTGTATGTTGTTCTTATTCTTTACCTTTTCAACAGAAACTTTACGTAAAAGCCAACCCAAACTAGAATAAAGATTATGGAAATAACAGGAACCTAACAGTCCAATAAACTCCTACCACACAATCAGAACGCCTGTTGGTTGTCTCTCTTTTCATTTAAGAGTTCCCACTTGTCGGTGCAACTAATTCATGCATCTTCCTCCAGCCAGCTCTATCCCAGGCCATATCCTTGATCTCCCTATACGACATGACACCTAGTGTTTCTTTCATCTGTCCCATGTAGTTATTCCTCGGTCTGTAGGTAGTATTGATGTCTTTTTAATGATTCCTCATTAATCATTACTGATTACATGTATGACGTCATCAATGATAATATTCATCATTGATAATTAAAGCTCAATGAATGAAAAAGTGTACGCTATCATTGGAATTGATGAATCAAATCTGTCTGTTAGACACGTTTTCACTAGCACACGTCCCCAAGTTAAGGTCCCCAGTTAGTCCCGAAACTAGTCGAACTTTCTCGACTAAACAACACTTAATTTAAACCATTTGTTATTACATTGCAATATTATATGTCCATACGGAACATTTAACCCTTTTTTGCATGTTTTTTTTTATTGGTGAAATAAATCAAGGTGATACAATTTATGTTCAAAATTAAAGGAAAAATGGTTAAAGAAATAAATTTAACAGCTATGTGTATTTTTTTTCTGCGATGGACATTAAAAAGGTATCCAGACACGATCAACTTAAAGTGTACTTGTTCTTTTATATAATTTTTGGGCGTTCAATGTTATGATGGAAATTTCCACCGTTATGCAAAGAAGGATTAACAATGAAATATTAAAATATTACTTAGGCACTTTGAGAATAAAGCCTGTTGAGGAAATCTTAATACTGTGTGCATTTATTTATTTAGACTGCATAGTAATTGGCACGTGGATACTCGTTGGCAACTGTCTACCTCGATTCACTATCGTAACAACGTATAGACGGACACCTTAACGTAAAATTAACATAACTTACACATCCCTTTATCCATCCCTGTATAATCTACAAAATTGCATCAATATCGGCGCCATACTCGATGCGTTTCGCCTCTGAACTGAATAGGGCCGAATTGAGCCAAATGACACTAGCTTTCTGATCAAGAAACGAATCAATACGAACTCCGACTACTAACTGGATTCATTATTTGGAGTATTTTGCCCATAAATGGTCAATATTACAACGATATACATATATCACATACTTAATTGATACTCCGGAGCCCAATAGAGTTATTACCGCTCAATACATTTTGCTCAAGTCGGCAACAACGAGACGCTAAATACAATGTGGTATGAGCTCGCCTGAGCAAAGCCCATGTGAGCCGTATTGCTCATTATTGCTCAATAGGCATCTAAAAGCCAAATTAGCTCGAAAAGGCAAGTCCTACCTAGAGAGAGAGAGATCTAAACTTTTTTTTTTATTATTTATAATTATGTACCTTACGCCGTTGTGGCAAGGTGCAAATTTCGATATCTAGACGTAATACTACTAGAAGTGACACTGACAGATTTCAAATTATATTTGATCAAATAATAAAAGTAATAATAATAAAATATAATAATATATTTTTTTGTATGTTTCACATACACAAATATAAATAAAAAACAACTATGTTACTAACAATATAATGGCAGGAAATATGTCGACATCTTGACGTTTTGGAAACGTAAAAATAAACAATACTTTTTTTTTTTATAAAAGATTGCCAGAAATAAAAATAATATTTTATTTGATTTACAGATTGTTTGGACAAGTACTATTTTTCAAAGGGCCGACTACAGTCTGTCTCACAAGTGTAGTCGCCGTCCTGTGCACGTGACGTGCGTACGAAAAACAAGAATTAGAGTTTAGACAATACAAAACAAATAATAAACCTAAATATTTGAATAAAACATACGTCTATTGCAGCGCCCCCTGTCGGCCTATTAATTATGGAACACGACTAAAAACATGTTCTGTAGCGATTTTGTATTTATCCTACTCACTCTTCAGCTGTATCCGTCCGTATAACCGATTAAACGCGAAAAAATGTACTTTTAACAAATATGTTAAACTGTTAAATGTCATTATAACTGTGTAAAGAGCGTTCGCTCAAATTCTGTCAACAGTTATTCTAAAATCATAAATAGATTGTACAAAAAAAAAATACAATAGTAATAACCCATAAACAAACTTCAAAAAAATTACATCATAATAACTTGCCCATATTCCTCCGAGCATATTAAAATCAAGCGAGCGAGCCTTAGACTCTCGCTCGATTATATTTTTCAACCGTGGTCTCAATACCGGGCAAGAATTTACAATGAACAAACATTGGCGTTGGCCCGATTCGAACCCACGATACAGTACGCTTTTAGAACATACAATATGGCAAATTATATATCTAACTATATAGTTATTAGCTTAAACTACATACTTCATATACGCGCTTCACACATTTCCTTACATATCACAAAAGAACACAACACTGGACATTCGTCGTGTGGTCACTTCTAGTAGCACTACGTCCCTGTTACACGTACACCGGCCATTACCGTCCTTATTTGCTGATTAATAAGAATTAAAATAGCTTAACACCACACTACTGTGGTACGATCACATTTTCGTGGGCGTATTCGAACCAAAATTATATGAACTTTTTTATGATACACGATGACTTTGTCACGTGACACTCTTGAAAATGACATTTTGTTAGTGTGTGTTTAAGAAAGTGTCTCATTTGTGTTCGCTAGGGTATTTGGTGAGAAAACTCGGGGCGTTCGGCCATACTAGCGTACAGGCTGTTACGGGAACGTTAGTTTCACAGTTTACTTTTTAATTTTGTCACACACACACACACACACACACACAAACACAGTCATATAATAATTAAAGTGTAATTTGATTATGAAATTTTTAAAATTTTTCTTATATTTTTGGCTCAACACAACCTGATATAAACTATATAAAATATGAACTAATATTATATTTTCTAATTTGTGTTGTTTTATAATGTATTTTACACGTGTAATTGAATATATGTTCAGCCCCTAAACTATGCTGACTTGCATTTTGAAATATAGTCTAAGAGCTCGAGGTTGAAGTTATAAGATCAAAAAAATCATATCGAAACAGGATTCTTTTGACTATTTTTCAATATAAACTTGATAATAGTACATATATTCGGCAGCTTGTCATTGTGATTGACTAGTTTAATGACAAGTGTTAACCGTTGCCTATTGATATGAACGATGTTATAGATATTACAGAATATACTGTGCCGCCCGTGGCACAGTTAATGAGTTACTATTCCTGAGAACAAGTTACATTAAAATGAGTTATAAATTATAAAGATGCAATAGAATTTATATAAATATTATATTATTATGCAGTACGGCTCTTAGACTATTTTAAGAAATCAAGTCCAAGAGACCACATCCAAAGTCTAATTTTTTAATAGGATATGTTTGTTTTTTTTTTCTTTTAAATATATTTTTATTAGAAAGAAAAATAAATTCATATTTTATACAGTTTACAACGTAATTACGTCCGTAAGGCATATAAATATATAATATAATTATAGAAATATATATGTAGCTGCTACATATTAGATTATTCTTGCTGCGACTGCGCACGCTGGTGGGTCAGCTCCTACACAGAAATAGATTATTGTCGAAATTCTGAGGCGAGAAGAAATATAATAGATAATTATGTTCTTTGTTTATATATTTATTTTGTCTTATGTATCTTTTTAAAACGTAAACACTCATTTTATTTATTAAATAATACATCAAGATACATTGTATACGTAAGTATATAGAACACTGATAAATAAACAAACCAGCTAATTTGACAATTAGCTGACAAAAAGTTGAGCCGTTTTTGAGGCTCGATGCTCCATCTACATATTCTAAGGTAGACGCATATTATTATAAAAAAAAAACAATACCAATAAACTGACCTATGGCGCGATGGATAGAGGTCGAAAGCGCCTGGCTCTGGCTGCATTATGGTTGGCATTGGCGGGCAGCGTGGGCGGCGGCGGCGGCGCGGGGCCGCCGGCGGCGGAGGAGGCTGCGGCGGCGGGGGAGGCGGAGGAGGCGGAGGAGGCGGCGGCGGCGGCGGGCGCGGGGGGAGGCGAGCCCGACGACGAGGAGCCGCCCGAGGGCGGCGGCGACGACATCAGCAGCGCCGGCACCCCGCGAGACCCACTTCTGCTGCTGACAATTCTAACGTTCAATGTTGTTAGATTCGCCCATTTGTTATCAATCGTTAGTACTATCAATACATACACATAAATGTCTCTGTTTAGAATAAATTATTTTTAAAAAGCCACATTTATTACTAAGCATTTGGCAATATGAATAAAATAGATATAAAATATTAAAAAATTAAATTATTATTATTATAAAGTACGTTCAGAATTAACATATATCGACCACGTGTAACATACAAACAAAAATGTAGCAAACAAAAAAATAATTTATATAAATTAATAAAAAAAAAAAATTAAAATTAGAACAGCTTCAATAGGTATTTACCTAGTATGCTGCGGCGGTTGTCTGTGCCGCGGCCTCGCGAACCGCAGATTCAGCTCCCGCGTCGGGTCTGATGCATATTTTTCGTTTGCATTCTGCCGCCGCCGGCGCAACGCTGTCGGTTAACACATGTTGTTAATAAACAGTGAAAATACTAATAATATTAGAACTCAACAAACATTCTATTTAAATTCACCATGTAGTAGAAAAATAGTCGTAACGGATCTATTACCACTGTACGACGCACAGTCGGCGAGGCGGCCGGCAGTACAGTACAGTACAGTACAGTACAGTACAGTACAGTAGAGTAGAGTAGAGCAGAGTGCGGCGGCGGTACGTACCGGGCGTGAGGTCCGCGTCGCCGGGCGCGGCGGGTCCGTCCAGCGGCCCGTCCCCGCTCCACGACGCACAGTCGGCGAGGCGGCCGGCAGTACAGTACAGTACAGTACAGTACAGTACAGTAGAGTAGAGTAGAGCAGAGTGCGGCGGCGGTACGTACCGGGCGTGAGGTCCGCGTCGCCGGGCGCGGCGGGTCCGTCCAGCGGCCCGTCCCCGCTCCACGACGCACAGTCGGCGAGGCGGCCGGCAGTACAGTACAGTACAGTACAGTAGAGTAGAGTGCGGCGGCGGTACGTACCGGGCGTGAGGTCCGCGTCGCCGGGCGCGGCGGGTCCGTCCAGCGGCCCGTCCCCGCTCCACGACGCACAGTCGGCGAGGCGGCCGGCAGTACAGTACAGTACAGTACAGTAGAGTAGAGTGCGGCGGCGGTACGTACCGGGCGTGAGGTCCGCGTCGCCGGGCGCGGCGGGTCCGTCCAGCGGCCCGTCCCCGCTCCACGACGCACAGTCGGCGAGGCGGCCGGCAGTACAGTACAGTACAGTACAGTAGAGTAGAGTGCGGCGGCGGTACGTACCGGGCGTGAGGTCCGCGTCGCCGGGCGCGGCGGGTCCGTCCAGCGGCCCGTCCCCGCTCCACGACGCACACTTGGCCAGCCGCGCCTCGCCCAGCGCCACCGGGATGCGGGACGCGCTGGTCGACGACCGCTGCACAAACATAATGCCATCATGTCAAGTTTCGTAATACAATATGGCCGTGTGGTCGCGGCCGGTATAGAATAGGCCACCTCTTCCTTTCCCGTGGGTGTCGTAAGAGGGCGAAGGATGGGTAGCAATGCCCTTATTAAAGCATCTCCAAAGCCTGACTGCGTTTGCCAATCCGCCTGCCAAACGTGGCAACTACTGGTGAAATCTCCTAAGGGGATGCTTGTGTTCAGCGGTGGAGAGTTAAAGGCTGATATGATGTTAATGATTATACACAAGTGGTGTTTGGAGTCAACGGCAGATGGTGACAGAATGCAACATGAAGGACTGCAGTTATCTCTGTCATCGAAGAAATGGCACTCGTATGAAAGAAGTAGAAAAAATAGCTGTGTGTCCCGGCATAGAATAGGCCACCCCTTCCTTTCCCGTGGGTGTTATAAGAGACGGTTAAGGGAGCTTATAGTAGAGGAATGGGCAGCAGCGTCCCTATTAAAACATCATAAATTACGGTTACAAACATGCTTGCCAAGCGTGGGCAACTACTGACAAAACCCCCCTAATGGGGGAAGCTATGTTCAGAAGTGTATGAAAGGACTGTATGAAAGGACGTATTAAAAATGAAATAATCATCCCAATTTCGTACCTAAAATATACGTCGACTGATGTGTTTAAACAACAAAGATAAATTTAAAAAATCGATTCACAATCGTAACTCGCCCAAATATAATGTTGAAATACCACGGATGTACTGAAAATACAAGGAAACAAGGGAATAACTAAGGATTTCGAAGAGTGGACAGGTTGTGTGTGTAGGCATTCTAATGCCCCCCTTGGAAGAGCTAAAAGTTTCCCCTCGTGAGAGACAAAAGGTTATTGCATTGACAGAAAATGGAATCACAGTAAAATGTGAAAACAAACTAGTTATGGGTTTGTTTTGAAAATAAAGAAATAGTCTATGAAAAGCTAAAAGACTTTACAATAACGTAATTAAGTTAATGTAAATTAATAAAAAAATTAGAGTAAAATAATCGTTGTATGAACATCACGCGTTTTCACAAAATAGATTAAGCACATAATAATTAGTCTATGAAGACTTATATGAACATGTCGGTTCTAAAAATTTAATCTTGACGTTTCTCTGACAGTAAATTATTTAATTTAATATTTAATTCCCCCTAATTCCTAACTATTATCAATATTAAACGTGATAATGCATTATTTCAATATTTGGGCCAAATATTTACAATATACTCACATCCCGTAAACTCTGCGAGCCGTCGCCCGCTCCACTCGGCACTTCTCGTTTTACAGGTGGACTGCTTCTGTAAATTAAAAATTAATTTATATAACAAAAAATATTTATTTCTCAAACATGCTTGGAAATGTGAGCATTATTTTGACAATCTTCTTCGAGATAAATCAAAATTGCCGTACTGTCCAGATACATGCGGGCAGCGGCCGGCAAAAGTTGTATGAAAATCCATATCTGTCGTGTTTTGCGGCCAGATAAATTACTATGTAAACTCATATCTGTCCTGTAATTTAAAAATGGAATGACCTTTTACTTCGAAACATGGCTACCAAGGAGGTGACTAATACAAGGTTTTATTTAAATTTCGAACTGGCTTGCAAATAGAAAGCTGTTTATTGAAAAAAAAAAAAACAAGGGAACATTATGGCGCGTGAAAATTATTATTGCTGGTTATTCGTCATTGAATTTAAAAACTAAAATTGTGTTCTTGATTTCCGCGCATTGTTTGAGAAAAGTACTATACAAGCCTTGGCCACAACTAGGCATTGATGGACTCACGTATGTGTGCCTCGGTTACACCTCGGCCCACATTTGTGCGTTCGTCCATCAATGCCTCAGTTGCTGGCCGCTGCAGTAATGTACTATTTCTTATTTGATATGTCTCAAATAAAGTCATGGATCAAAACATTTGATACACAGATAAACCCTGCCTCGGTTAACACTTAGAATACGTTATTTAAACAATGTTTACAATAAAACAGTTTAAAAAGCCTCTTGTGTAAGATAAGATAGACATTGCTGTTTCTAGGCAGAAATATGATGGTAATTCATAGAATCATTCAAGTCTACACACCTGTCCTGTACTGCGTCTAGTCTCGTTCTCTCTACTGCTGGACTCTGGCTCTTCTCACCGCCGCTCCGAGTTGACGACCTGCACATATCCCTGTATTTATAATAAGTACACATACCACGATACCTCCATACATCCATGAAATAACACAGCACATAAATATTTTTATTATATTTATGTGACACGGTGGTTGAATGAAGACAGGATTGTCTTTTTACATCGTCACTTATAACACAGCCGTCGTCGTGTCATCATTGGTCATAATTTCATACATACACATTCTACTTAAATTGTATATCATCTTGATCCTTCGAGCCGGATGTCTTTCATTAACAAAACTCTAGTGCTCAGTAAAATAATTACTTTCAGTTAATTAATTTATACAGTCCAATAATTTTTTGTTTTATCAATTTCAGCAATTTACTCACGTTTTCACCACTGCTCCAAAAGACGACGCTAACCTTAAAACATAAACATATCATAGAAACTTGCCTTTTGTCTCTCTGGTGTTCTGTAGCGTCGTAATATACTGACGCTTCTTCATGATTCAACCGGATTGGCTCGCCACCACTCACCACAGAATGGATTTTTACTGTAATAGAAAAAAGATAAAATCTTATTTGATGATAAGTGGAAATCGTAACCTAAAAATATATAAGATATTACGGATGTCACGATATATATTGTATCATATATTGTAACCTTTATGTATCAGATTTTAGATGTAATCAAGGTTGTTATAGTAGATACCTATCAAGTATTACGACACACCCTCAACGGCGATCGGATCGGACCACCTAGCATGGCGCAAGAAGGTGCGCTACCGAGAAAGACACCTGCGTCGAGTCAGCATTTCAATTCCCGCAGCAAAAATACCCATTTCATTTATGTTTGATTTGATATAACTTCACTTACGGATCACACATCGATCTGAAGACATTTATTATTGTAATAATTAATTTTAGAATTAAATTTAGTTATATTTATAAAATTGTTTTTTTTTTGGGTCTTCCGTCAGCGGCTTCAATAACTAGGTAGAGACTTTGAATAATAATACAACAATGTACATATTACCATTTTACTGTGGACATAGAAGTATATGATAATCACTGTGGGATAGTACAAAACTATCGCCAGTAAACGAAGTTGCCGGCAAACGCAGTCGCGACTAGAAGTGGTCAACTATTTGAGGACCTAGAATTAAACTAGTATTCTTTCCCGGTGTGTAACTTATACATTTATGGTTATTTAATTTTTTTATCTCTTTATAATAAATCGATAGTTATGTGTGTATATGACGAGGATTAGTAAAATTATGGTGTCGTAAAAAATATTACAATGAAACGCATGGGGGGTATCATGGGCGCAACAGTATACTCTGTTATGTCCATGGTACTGCTCATGTCCATAGGCGACGGTTACCACTTTCCATCAGGTGGGCCGTCAGCTTGTTTGCTGTTCTAAGTTGTATATTTTTTAGATTAAATAAAATGAATATTCATAGATACCGGAGTGTCCGGGCGAGGTGCTGTCGGGCGGGCGCACGCGTATCTCGAGCCGGCTCGACACCGTGGCGCCCTCCCCCGCCTCCGCGGCCGCCGCCTCCCCCGCGCCGCCCACCGCCGCCCCGCCGCCGCCGCCGCCGCTGCTGTCGCCGTCGCCGCCGGCGGAGGCGCCGCCGGTGCAGACTGGGACGATGACGTCGACAGGCTCTGTTTATAATAACATGTTTTTTTAATTCAAGTAAAATACGCAGCCATATCGTCTTTTTTAATATTGTACTGAACTGATTCTTTGTGAAAATCGATATTATTGGCTAGTTGATTGGAATTATTTTGTTTAATTCCGATAGAATTAGTATGCATGCGATAATTAACATTTAAAGATTGACTTCTATTATAAAATAAATAAATACGTTTGACATTTATTAATTTGAATTTGGCGCGCATTAGGAGTCGAATCAAACTGTCAGAATAACTTGTCATTCATGAGTTGAATCTAGATACATATCTAGATTCGCTATTGTAATAAATATTTTTAATTGCTTTTAATTCTTGAAATAATAGCGTAAAATGTTGTTTCTCTTGTCAGATGAGTTGTGTAATATCAATATATCAATAAATTATTTAAATAATAAGATTGCAAGTTAATCATGAATTACCCTCGTTTTAGAGTAATTTAATTATTTCATAGGTTCATGCGATAAAGTTTATTATTTCATAAAGAAAATGTGTTTCTAAAATGTAAAGCACATTATATTTGTTATATAAATTTTTATATATTTTTACCTTCCTCTGGTAAAATATACACCTTTGTACACCAGACAAAAGTCGTTTATACCGTGAAGCAGTTGTGTTTGCATGGCTATGTTTCGGTTTGAAGGGTGCGGTGGTGGTGATGGTGTCGGTGATGATGGTGGTGTTGGTGGTGATGGTGGTGTTGGTGGTGATGGTGGTTGTCGATGATGATGGTGTCGTTGGTGTCGATGATGATGGTGGTGGTGGTGGTGATTGTGTCGTTGATGATGATGTCGGTGATGATGGTGGTGATGGTGGTGGCGGTGGTGTCGGTGGTGTCGGTGGCGTGTGCTGGTGGTGTCGGTGTCGGTGGCGTGTGCTGGTGGTGTCGGTGTCGGTGTCGGTGTCGGTGGCGGCGTGCGGCGGCGGCGCGGCACGTACCGGCAGGCTGCGCGCGCGCACGGGCGGCGCGGGCGCGGGCGTGTGCACGTGGTGGTGGTCGCGGCGCGCCGCCACGCCGCGCATCACGTCCACGCGGTAGCGCAGCGCGCCGCCCGCGCACCCCGCGCCGTCGAACGACGCCTGCTGCAGCAGCGGCGGCCGCAGCGACCGCACGTGCGACCCTGCAACGCAACCTTATATCTTTATAATAATTATAATCATTTATTCTACTAAAATATACAGATACAATCACAACATACATATAGTCTATATCTAATATTATTATTATCTATATTTTTAAATAATATTTATCATCTACAGTTTTATCTTATTTTTTCTGTAATTCCTTAAATTTATATAAAAAAAAATTAATTATATAAAGTACGATAGCCTGACCTTCATAATACAGGATTTTCCTAGGAGAAAAGGATTATTAATAATAGAGACTGAGAATCTCATTGCTAGCAATGGGTATATTCCAGGCCAGGTCGACTTCCACGTTGTTCCCCCTAAAAACTATTATAGTTGATTCCTGATGAAATCATCTTTAGCCCATCATGATGATTTCATCAGGAATCTCATAGATCACCCTTCACTGGTGCCCCGCCAGCGTATACCGTTAGCGCAGGTGAGGCTGCCATTTCATTTTCATCCAAAAAAATACAGTATTTTCCTAGTATAGAGGCCAGAGGCACTTGATTTTACATCTGTATATTTGTGTTGAATAAATTACTATTATTATCATTAGCTCGAAAAAACTCGATTAGTTTCGGAATCAATCCGTGATCCTTAATCACTTAGCTGTGATACAAGTACGAGCTTATTAAACTAAGAACGATAATTATTACATAAAAATATAATTGTGTGCTTACGAAACTTTTAACAATAATAATAAGTTACAAGTGTCAGAAAATACTATCTTATGCATGACCCCCAAGTATTACTGTAGGATTGGAACGCATAGAAAGTTCATAAAAACTCACCGATAGCAGGCAGAGTCCAGCACCTGGGCAGCATGGGCTGCAGCTTCGGGTAGGCCTCTATCCCCGGGATGTACAGGCACGGCGCACGCTCCCGCCGGGCCGGCCGCGCCGCCGCCGGAGGCGACTTTTCGCCCGCACCCGCCTGGAAGAGGAAAGGAACAGAAGTTCACCTATAAGATTTGTACACTGTAATTTTATTACTGTATCCAATATTTTATTAATAACTTTAAAACAAAAACTAGAAATAATAATTTTTTAAAAAAAAAAAGGGACCTATAATTGACCCTTGAAGTACACCCATTTTTATAATTGCTCCTTATGACTTTATATTGCGAATCAATTCAGTTGATGTTTCTATTTTTAAATGGATGATAATAGAACCCTGCCGACGTTAACAGGATACGCTGGCGGGGCACCAGTGAGAGATGATAGGTGAGAATGAAAAGGCAGGTCAGTTAGTCAAACGTGATGAATACACCTGGAATTCAGCACGATGGTTTCCTGGGGGGACCACGTAGAGATCGACCTAAATGAGTATATTGCTAGCAATGGAACTGCTAGTCTTCATTACTAACAATCCTTTCCACCTATTCTGTTGATGTTGCAACTAATACCAAAAACTTTTCAAAATTTGTAAATACACCTAGATATATAATACCTGTGCGGCGTGGTCCGGCTTTTGGTGTCCGGGCGCGGGTTGCTGCGTGTGCGGCGTGTGCGGCGTGTGCTGCGTGTGCGTGTGCGGCGTGTGCGGCGTGTGCTGCGTGTGCGAGGCGGGCAGCTGCGTGCGCGGCGCGTTCGAGCAGCTCGACACGCCGCTCGCGCCGCGGCCGCGGTGCTCCGGCGACTGCGCACAATCACATAACTAGTATAGATAACTAGTAAACTTATTATAGATACAAACAATTACAAGAAACAATCACAGTGAGAAAACAATGGGCGACCTTATCGCTAAGAGCGATCTCTTGCAGGCAACCTTTGGATGAAGAGGAGTAATTATAAACAGTTTGATCGGTGTTTGACTAGTATGTTGGTATAATTGCAGCTAGTCACATTACCTGGTGTGATCTATAAAATATGCCTATTTTCTGTATATATGTATTTAGTATATTTTTAGTGATGTTACTATGAGATCCAGACTAATGATAACGTGAAGTGCTAAGTCGCTATGCTCTCTAAATATGGTTTGAGATCCGTGATAGTTACGCTCATCTGTCGAACTGTGGTAAACAGATACAGTTTGTAGGAAATGGCCTATTCTTGTTTAGTGCTTAGCAGCGACTCAAAATATTACATTGAATTGAAAAAAAAAAACTCAACACTAATTATAGTTACTGTAAAATTATTTTGTACATTTGCTTTAAAGACAGTATTAATATAACGAGACACTTTATTAGTCAAATGAAATTGATTTTTTATGATACACAGCCATAATAAACAAGTTGATAAGCCAACTGATGGAAGACGAGACATTTTTTAAATTAATAGATTTCCCAAAACATACTGTAGCATCCCTCATAAGTTGCATGCACATATTTGAATAATTCATAGTTTTGTGTTGGGATTCGACTTTGGGACTTTAACTTCAACCTAGCGTCATTTTATTAACCACTAGCGACCCGCCCCGGCTTCGCACGCGTGCACATTACATCACATCACATTAGATACCTCTAAAATTATCAGTGTTCCTCTACAATATTGTGCATGTATTATACATATAAACCTTCCTCTTGAATCACTCTATCTATTAAACAAATCGCTTCAAAATCCGTTGCGTAGTTTTAAAGATTTAGGAATACATATGGACAGACAGACAGCGACTTTGTTTTATACTGTGTAGTGATTATCTGTCCACTGCTGCAGATAGGCCTCCCCTTTAGACTACCACAAAGAACTGTCTTAGGCCACTTGCATCTACTGACTCCCTGCAAAACATTTTAGGTCGTCGCTCCATTTAGTTGGGATTGGTCCTACACTGCGTTCGCTCGAAGAACCTTTCTTCCCCATCGGTTGTCGGTTCTTCGAGCTATGTGACCAATCCATTGCTACTTCACCTTGCAAGTTTTGTCCTTCTTTAGTTCAACCTGTACTCGAGAGTTATATTTATAGTCCATACCTGTAACTGTTCCTGTTTCCACTCGTTGTCCGTGGTCTCTTCTGAATCGTCGAATTGCGACTTCCAGAGAGATACCAAAGTCAGTGCACCGCCCTTTGTCACCTGCAACATAAAAACCATACATTTAAAACAGAAATCAAGAATCATACACAAGATTAAAAGAAAAAAAAAATAGAATGCTAATGGCGCCGCGTCGACTTACGCTGACATAGTTCTAGGGATGAAAGATAGGTGAGGATGAAGTACTATTGTTTGAAATGGGGCTGCTAATGCCTGAACCAACAGTAAGCCTAATACACTGACAGTGGAGGATTTACCAGCAGGTTGATTTAAGGTTAGGACAGTAGATTTTGGGGGTAGGTGGTAAAGGTTGCCCCCTGTGCCACCTACCTCCAAAATCTGCTGCTTTTATAGAGTTTTGTACCAAAAAGGTACAAAGGAATCCTTATGGTGTGATTTCGCCCTACTGTCCGTCCGTCCATCCGTTTGTCACAGCGTTATATCTCTATAACTACTATTTCTAACCGACTTGAAAAAAGAAGAAAGTTCACAATTTGGCTGTTTTTTTAAGTTTTCATAATATATCTCATAAATACGTCATTTATAAACCGATTTGGAAAAATCTTTTTTATTACTTTTAGGTTCGTCCTATAAAAAATTTATCAAAATCGATTCAATAGTTTAGTTTTTAAATCAATCTTTTTTGGTTTTGCCATGATTTAAGTCGGTGTTTTTTTTTTTTAATCAAATCCTAAATTATATATCATCAATTTATTAATAAAAAAAAAACTTTTATTAATATGATTGTAAACTAGGATACTGTATTGAAATTGAAATCATTTATTTGCTGGAATAAGGTACATTTTTATATGTGTTACTTTACAAGAAAAATAGTCCAATCTTATTCTGCCACACTGTAGGCGTGCAAATATAAAAACTTATTAAACAAAACATTATGTAGGTAGACGGAGACAAGTAAATTTAAATAGCCAACTGGCGGCAAACGTGTGAATCACTGACCTGCTGCAAGGCGGACACGTTCTCGTCGTCCATGACGGCGAACTGCGTGTAGCTTTGGTCGGCGCGAGCCCGGCCGGTGCGACGGGTACCTACATAATTTACGTACATTTTATCTCGTGCCTTTATGCCGTTAAATTATTTTAAATTAAAACCAAAAAACATTTTTGTTAACTAAAAATGTATATATTAATGTTGTGACATTGACTTAGTTCGAAATTTAAATTGTAATTTTATTTTTATTTGACATTTCTATGATTTTTATTTATTTTATAATAGCTTTATTAACGGCATTTATTAATGCATGACCCAAAGTGTGCACTGGGTACCAGAGTGATTTTGTGTATTATGTATTTTTTTTTCTTTTTTAATGGGTGATAATGGTATGGTAACCCCGTCTGCGCTCCTATTGCTAGCAATATACCCAACCAGGTCGACCTCCTCGCTGTTCTCCCTGGAAACTATCATTGTTAATTCCTGATGAATTCATCACGATGGTCTAACTGGCCTGTTTTCGTTCTCATCTATCATCCTTCACTGGTGCTCCGCCAGCGTATCTCGTTAGCGCAGGCGGGGTTACCATACCATTTTCACCCATCAAAAAAAATACTCTGTGTTGCCATTATACATTTATTTACAATTTAAAAATAATTACAATTTCCATTATTTATATTATATTATTATTCATATTGTTAATATCTCTATTCATTTAATGACAATTATTTAATTCCATTTTAATGTTTATCAAACACAAAGCATGCTATGGTTGCCTACAAATGTAAGAACAGTTAGATCTAATCTACCAGTGTATTGTATTGAAATGTTTAGCTGTATCTTATAATGGTAATTCTATAAATAAATAAATAAATAAACATAAATAAGCAATTGCAGTATGTATATATATTAATAATTACTAGTACCACATTCGAGTATTCTGACACTTCCCAATGGTTGACTGGGAGAGAATGCTTTTAGCATTAAGTGCGCCATGTACACATATTTGTACTAATGAATAAATAAATAAAATAAATAAATAAATAATGGGAGTTTTGCCAGTAGTTGTCACGCTGTTAAGAGGGTTACTTCTATATCTCTTAAAATATTAAAGACTTATGATCTCTCTGGCACACAAGGATTGGCAACGTGGCAGTGGTGTTTCCGGTCTTGCAAGTGTTCTTAGGCCATGGTACCAGTTTACCATCAGACGGGCCGTATGCTAAGTAGCAATACAAGCGACTCACCTCTCTTGAAGTGCGTGTCTGAATGTACGCTGTCCACATCTGCCACTATCCTCGGACTCACTGATTCACCTGTGATTTAACATTATATCTTTAATTTAGGGAGAGTTCGCTAACAGTTTTAGTTCTGTCATTTGTGTCACGTAAAACAAAAGTATTATAACGCCATCTAGTTTAACTATACATAACAAATAATAAATGTCGCGTCGCTAGATGGCACTAAATATATAATAAAAACATTAACATATATTGAAAGGGGTAACAAAATTATAAAATACTTTTTAGTTCATTGCATTAAAAATACTAGCACGGTAGACTTAGTCGGAGAATGAGATAAAACAGTTTAATAACTAAATCAGGTTTATGAGAGGTTTGATATTTTTTTTATAAATAAAGCGCCTAGTACAGATGCTTCTTATAGGTCAAGGATTTTTTTATTTTCTATTTTACAATATAAAATTCAATATTTATGCTACTGTAAAAACTGAAAGAAATCTCTTTTAGAAATAAGTTCGCCTATGCTAACTTTGTTATTAACTTATTGTTGTTACTGTATGTTTTAGTGCAAATAAAGAATATATATATATATATATATATATATATATATACTTCAGATAACGACTTCGTACACTGCGAAAATTGGAACATAATATATAGTGTTTATTTTAAGACGCAGATCTGTCGAGCTTGACTTTATTATTTTTATTGTGATTTTTCTAAAATACACCTGTCTCCTCTTAAGGAGGGGAGCGAGGACGAGAGAGGAGCGGGGGGGGGGTGTCAGTGTAATGACGTAGATACATGCGTACCGGGCGTGTGCGGCGAGTGCTGGTGCGCGAGCTCCTGCACGCATAAGGGGCGTGGGCGTGCGCACACTCACGCCGCAAACAAACAAACATAACTATATTAAATCGTAATGTACAATATTCTATGTATTAGTTATTTACTCACATTCTAAATTCGTGAATACATTCCATCCCCCCCCCATTAGTTTTTAGCTCAATAAGTCTGCGGCCGAGTTCAAAAGGTATTTATAAAGGTTTGTTATATATACAATATATATATGCTGGTGCGCGAGTTCTGAACACAGGCCTTTTTATAATTTCTTTACGCACGTGGGCCTATTCTATGCCGGGACAAACAAACAAACATCCAGAGGTTCATGTAGAGCGAGGCTGCGGTCATCTAATATGGCGCCGTCACCTTTTTCAGATTTCTCCACGCGCAGAACTGCATCTTCCCTTAAAAATACATGTGAAGCCGTTGGTAAATCTTTATAAATAAATATGGACGGTTTTGTATGTCTTGATGCAGGGGAAGGCTTTAAGTTATTAACAAACGAGCGTAAGCGGGCCGCGTTGTTCCAGCTGCGGCCCGCCACCTGCCGCGGGACAGACAGACAAACCTCACTCTTATGCCCCCCGTAATAGAGAACAGTAGAGTCGACACACTTCTTATGTCGCTCCTTAACAACTTACTTATTTATTGGAACAGGTAAGAAGGAAGGAAACAGACTAGTCTGACATATTTTTTTATACAACTTAGAATGGCAAACACGTTGACAGATCACCTAATGGAAAGTGGTAACCGTCGCCTATAGACACGAGCAGTACCATGAGCATAACAGAGTATACTGTTTCGCCCATAATAACCCTCATACATTACCATTCGTGAAGACTCAGGTGTTATTCCTCTGTACCCTGTAAATTCACTGCCAAATCCCACCCTTCAAACCGAAACACAGCCATGCAAACACAACTGCTTCACGGTTGAAACACGAATGGGGCACGAATATCCAAGAAAAGCTTCACAGCTGTGGAAAAGAAGAAGCGAGGCGAGAAAGGAGTGGGAGGATCGAGAGTAGAGGTAGAAGCGAGTGGAATGGGAGGGGTGTGAGGGTCGGGAGGAGGGTGTGGTGGTGGTCACCTGGTGCAGGCGCGCGCGGGCGGCACGGCGGCACGCTCTGCCGCTCGGGCCGTGCACCTGCGCCGCCGCCAGCACTAGACGTCGTCGCCTCCTGCGCACCATTCAAAAACTAATCATTAACGGCACGGACAACTAAATCGTGCTGAACACAGGCCTCCCCCATAAGGGGCGGTTTAGCCAGTAGTTGCCACACTTAGCAGGCGGGTTGGCAACCGCAGTTAGGTCTCTGGTGATGTTTTAAGAGGGACTCTAATGCTCATCCCTCGCCCTCCCTTAGTCGCATCTTACGACACTCACGGGAAAGGAGGGGGTGGCCTATTCTATGCCGGGACAAACAAACAAACATAACTATATTAAATCGTAATGTACAATATTCTATGTATTAGTTATTTACTCACATTCTAAATTCGTGAATACATTCCATCCCCCCCCCCCCCCCCCCCATTAGTTTTTAGCTCAATAAGTCTCCTTATTGATAAGCGCGGTTCAAGACCGTTATGGGAAATGAGTAAGTAAAATATTTAATTCAACGTTCAAACGTCTATATATTTTTTAAAAAGAATGACAATTTCTAAATTTTATACTGCGCGCGCTACCTCGCATGCGCTGTTATTTATAATTTATTTTTCTACAGAAATTCAAAAGGTATTTATAAAGGTTTGTTATATATACAATATATATATGCGCCACACCGTTTTACCAACAACACCGAATAACCCTCTTAAAATATCTTTAAAGCTTGACTGCAGTTGCCAATCCGCCTGCCAAGCGTGGCAAATACTGGCAAAACTCCTCAAGAGGGAGAATTATGTTCAGCAGTGGACAGTTAAGATGATAATGATGTTCTCGCACTAGGAATCCTAGTGAGTTCGAAACTAGTCGGATATCCCCGAATATAAAATGAGAATAAAGCCAACATAAATAATTACAATACTGTACCTTTGCGTGTCTGTCAGGAGATGGCGCTGGTGTGGTTCTCAGTTCTGACTCTTTTTCCGTTTGCTTGTCTGTAGTCGACTGCAAGAATACAAAAATACCATCGTTACATAAAAAACTAAATCAGTAGAAAAGTTTTAGACACACAATGGTAGCAATATAGTGAGTGTGGCAAATGTGATGAGAATAATGAATACGATACTGATGTGAGTCGATGATTTTATTGGCGGGTGCGACACTAATCACGTATCCGTTAACGTGGTGCAGGTGTGGTGAGTGTGGCGAGTGTGGTGAGTGCGGCACTACTCACATATGCGTTGACGTTCTGCGGATGAGATGAGTGTGGTGAGTGTGACGAGTGTGGCGAATGCGGCACTACTCACGTATCCGTTGACATGGTGCAAGTGTGATGAGTGTGGCGAGTGTGGCGGATGCGACACTAATCACGTATCCGTTAACGTGGTGCGAGTGTGATGAGTGTGGCGAGTGTGGCGGATGCGATACTAATCACGTATCCGTTAACGTGGTGCGAGTGTGGTGAGTGTGACGAGTGTGGTGAGTGCGGCACTACTCACGTATCTGTTGACGTGGTGCGTTTGAGGGTGTGATGAGTGTGACGAGTGTTGCACTACTCACGTATCTGTTGACGTGGTGCGAGTGGGACGAGTGTGGTTAGTGTAACGAGTGTGGCGAGTGCAACACTACTCACGTATCCGTTGACGTGGTGCGGGTGCGGGTGTGATGAGTGTGGCAAGTGTGGCGAGTGCGGCACTACTCACGTATCCGTTGACGTGGTGGGGGTGCGGGTGCTGGTGCGGGTGCGCGTGGTGGCCGTGGTGGTGCGCGTGGCGCGGCGAGGCCGGCTGGCGCCGCTCGCGGTCCGCGGTGGCCACGGTGCCCGCGGTGCCCGCCGTCGCCAGCGTGCCCGCCTCCGTGTCCACGCGCCGCCGGCTCTGTACGCGAAGAGAGAAAGGCAACGATTAACATTACATCCCATATCGTTAACTTATTAATTTTTTACAGTTATTTACATTTTATACATTTAAAGTTAGAGCAAATAGACGGAGTCGGACAATACTGAAATCGGTCGAAAAACGCAACGAGAAATTTCACCCAGCAATAATTGCTTAATAATATCTGAGTATCGCCAAGAATAGTGATTTATTTCATTACCACGACGCGGTATAATCAATTTTGAAAATAGAACTAAAATTAGGTAGAAATAAGAATGTTCCAATTTCAAAATTCACTTCGCATTTTAAAGGGGAACAATGAAATATTTATCCATCCACAGAGTAAATAATCCACTATACAAGAAGCGGCAACTTTTTTTTTATTTAAAAACAAATTATTTTTTACTCACATTGTCCGGTTGGTTATCAGTAGCAAGCGCATGCTCCGGTACCGGGTGTACGGACGCTCTCGTGCGTGACACCGCCACTGACTGCAACAACGGACACTGTTACACACCAGGGAAGCGACATCTAACGCCGGGGGAATGAGCGGGAAATTCACAGAGGAATGATCTGTGGACTAGTTCTTTGTACAACGAATACATCAACAAGGCTATTATAACAAAATAAATACATTATTACAAACTATAAACACGTATGTATGATTACTTATACCACTGTACAAACAGATGATCTTTTGGAGGATACAATAAAGAGTATCTATCTATCTATCAATCTATGCGACAACTTCGAAAGAGACAAATGTATATTACAATAAAACCAATAACTATGTTTTTTTTTACAGATGTGTGACATAACAGTAACACCCAATCTCTCACCGAACGACACGGGTTGATGCCATGTGCACTATAGATATGCCTGTGGAAGGAAATAAAGGCGCATATAAACCCACTAGTGGAGCACCTGCTAATCACACCTGCTTTTTTACACCGACGTTTTATCTCAAGTCTTTCTCATTTAAACATGTTTGTAAGCGTGTGGGTTTCAGCATAGAATAGGCCACCCCTTCCTTTCCCGTGGGTGTCGTAAGGGGTGACTAAGGGACGGCGAGGGATGGGCAGCAGCGTCCCTATTAAAACATTAACAAAAGTCAAACTGTGGTTACCAACCCGCTTGCCAAGCGTGGAAAGTACTGTCAAACCCCTTTTTTTATACGATTTAGAATGGCAAACAAGCTGACGGCCAACCTGATGGAAAGTGGTAACCGTCGCCTATAGTCATGAGCAGTACCGTGGACATAACAGAGTATACTGTTTCGCCCATGATACCCCCCATGCGTTACCGTTTCTGAGGACTCAGGTGTTATTCCTCTGTACCCTGTAAATTCACGTCATATCCCACCCTTCAAACCGAAACACAGCCATACAAACACAACTGCTTTACGGTTGAAATACGAATGGGACAGAGGTACCCAAGTAAACCCCTTATGGGGGAAGCCAATATACAGCAGTGGACGGTTAAGAGTTGATACAACATGTTTGTTAGTACATTTTATAAATGTAAGACAAAGGGACCACATTAAGGAGTAATAGTTTACATATATGTATGTAGTTACCTGGTATGGCAATATAGGCATGTGATGGGAAGGGATGAGGAGCATATTTTAAGAAATGTACTAAGTATAAATGTGGATAGCTATAAGGGCAGAGGAAGACATGGGTGGGCTGTATGAAGAGGATATAACTAGAATGGGAATTAATTCGGAAATAACTGCGAATAGAGTAGAATTGAAAAGAAAAACCTATTATGCTAACCACAAATAACTGTTGGAATAAGTATAGGAAAATAATGATGATGCTAGAAGAATACAAAGGCGTCTCTTATTCTTAATTCACTAATAAAAACTAAATCATTGGCATCCTTTTAAGGTGATATCCTTTCAGTTAAACTCAAAATATTTTGCAAAGAAACATAAGTCTAAATATGTGAGTTTTAAACAGACCATACTAATTTCACAGGTGGACATGTCATGACAGCATTACAGCATAATGTTATCTCGTTTTTTACTATTACACCTATTTAACTGAACTAGGTGTTATTTTTCGGAAGTCCATATCACTAGTTATTTGATTTTTTTGCTGGGTAAAAATAGTATGGTAGCCCCGCCTGCGCTGACGAGATACACTGGCGGAGTACCAGTGAAGGGTGATAGATGAGAATGAAAACAGGCCAGTTAGCACATCACGATGAATTCATCAGGAATTAACCATGATAATTTCCAGGGGGAACCGCGAGGAGGTCGACCTGGTTGGGTATATTGCTAGCAATGGGATTCTCAGTCTCCATTACTAACAATCTCTTTCCCCCCTGGTTATTTGATTATAATTATTAGTTATTACCTATCAATTAATTTTTACCCAGCATAATTCTACTAAAGCACTGCAAAATGATGATGACAGGTGCAGTTTCTAGTTGTATTCCTGAAGGTCTAACTTAGAAACTGGTGATTATTTTATCTTAATACCCCATCTAGAAATGGTTAAATAAATCATTGGTTTTGCTGCTTCTAAAATACACGCGTACAGAATGCCGGTACACACACACAAATGAAGCACAGCTGCGACCGACCTCTTTCTCCCAGTCGTAGGGGTCCGAGTCGCGGATGCCGCGGCGCTTGCAGCACTTCTCGAGGATGGTGGTGAGCAGCGCGTAGTCGGGCGTGTCCGCGTACTCGAGCTGCTGCACGTGCTCCAGGAACTGGCGCAGCTCGTTCGGCAGGTGCTTCAGCAGCAGCCGGTGGTCGTACTTCTCCTTCATCAGCCCCACCTGGTTCACAGCATAGGTATTTGGCGACGCACTAGTACTGTATTATTTATAATATTGGAATAACAATAATAATAGTACATTCTGTTATGTCCATGGTACTACTCATGTCTATAGGCGACGGTTACCACTTTCCATCAGGTGGGCCGTCAGCTTGTTTGCCAATCTAAGTAGTATAAAAAAATAGAATATCCCTACCCTTGTTAACATTATAAAAATATTATTTTACATTTTATTTTTTCTCATTTTTTCTTAAATGAATCCGAGAATCGATAGTAGACTCGTTCTATGCTATTTAAAAATTAATAAATGACAGCAAAAATTAGAAAAAAAAGCAACACCCTTTAAACAATCTCATACCGGTATCATATAAACAACAAAGCATATTTCAAGACAAGTGTAAGAGAAAAAAACTTGCAACAAAACAAATGAATCGCGCATAACTGGCACAATAAGTGTATATAAAGCTATATATAAAGCATAGGGAGTTTGGGGTCGAGCATTGAGAAGTTATTTTTTTTTATACAACTTAGAATGGCAAACAAGCTGACGGCCCGCCTGATGGAAAGTGGTAACCGTCGCCTATACACATGAGCAGTACCAAGGACATAACAGAGTATACTGTTTCGCCCATGATACCCCCCATGCGTTGCCATTCCTGAGGACTCAGGCGTTATTTCTCTGTACCCAGTAAATTCACGCCATATCCCATCCTTCAAACAGAAACATAACCATGCAAACACAACTGCTTCACGGTTGAAACACGAATGGGACAGAGGTACCCAAGCAATCGACTTTTGTACAAAGTGTCCCTCTGGTAATAAAAGTATAAATATATTTTTAGAGTTTCAAGCAACTTAAAAAGAATTATCGCAATCGGTATGCATTTTGACGATTCTTTGTTATATTAATTTGGCCCCAACTCGTAGTGTTTCTCGGCCTAAAATTTAAATGCCAGACTAAAGCAATGCACGTGATATTCATGGCGTATCCGACCTGCTCCTTGTCCTTGATCTTCCTCCAGGGCAGCTGGCCGTTGACAAACTCCACCAGCATGTAGAACAGCGACCACAGGTCGTCGTGGCGGCCCATCTCCTTGTTTTTGTGCGCATTTATGGACGCGTAGCGGACGGTGCCTGCCACACCACATTCACACATTAAACAAGTATAATAATCCTAACTTACTCCATACTTACTAACAGCCTTACTAACGTCACAGTATTACTAATAGTAATATAACTCTTTCCTCCTACATTCTTCACGACTCTGGAACGCGCTTCCTGATGCCATTAAGAGACTGCCGACTAAACAGTCTTTCAAAAAAAGCGTTCACGCTCACTTTTTATTTTTATCCGAGCAATAAGTGCTTTATATTATTCTCAAATTCGTGTATAATATAGTATATATCATATATGTCTAAGTATATTTGTTATTTATATATATTTATTCGTTTATATATGTAATTTTAGTATGTATGTATATCAGTGATTGGTAGTGCCGCATTCGAGTATTCTGACACTTCCCTATGGTTGACTGGGAGAGAATGCTTTTAGCATTAAGTGCGCCATGTACACATATATGTACTAATGAATAAATAAATAAAAAAATAATAATATAGTACGATATGAACACTCCCCGCCACCCGCTGCCATCTGACCTCACCCCCTCTCAAATACGCGCGAGCGCCCAAACACCTAATGTGTCTCTAATCTACATTTCAGATGCCCGGGGGGGGGGGGGGTGTTAGTAATGCGGACTATCAATCCCATTGCTAGCAATGTACCCTATCAGGTTGACTTCCCCGCAGCTCCCCCTGAAAACCATCGTGCTAAATTCCAGGTGTATTCATCACGGTGGGCTAACTAACCTGCCATTTCATCCCCACCTATCATCCCTCACTGGTGCCCCACCAGCGTATATCGTCAGCGCAGGCGGGGTTACCATTCCATTATCATCCATTAAAACAAACTTCAGATGCCGATGTCAGAGAAGAATAGAGGATACAATATTTACGAGGAATAAAGTCAGTTGGCCCACCATGATGAATTTGACAAGAATTAAACATGATGGTTTCCAGGGGAAAACCGCGTGAAGGTCGACCTGAGAGGATATATTGCTAGCAATGGGGCTATTTTTTTAACGGGTGATAATGGAATGGTAACCCCACCCGCGCTATAGGTATACACCGGCGAGGCACCAGTGAAGGATGATAGGTGAGGATGAAGGAGGTCAGTTAGCCCATCGTGACGAATTCAACAAGAATTGTTCACGATGGTTTCCAGGGGGAACCGCGTGGAGGTCGACCCGAGAGGGTATATTGTTAGTAATGGGGCGTATTAGACCCCGTTACCAACAATCCGTGTCCTAGCAGGCTGTAAGGTGGTACTGGGTACAGACCGCGGAAGCCGGCGGCGGCGCGCGGCGGGCGCACGGCGCCGCTGTTGGTGGTGTACTGGCGCGCGAGCCCGAAGTCCAGCATGTACACCTTGCGGCAGTTGCTCGGGTGGCGGCCGATGCTGAAGTTGCTCTGCCGGACACCACACGACGTTCAAGGGATAACTCACACAATACTTGACACAGACAACATAAGCTTGACAATACAATAGAATTGTAAATGAACTATATATATATATATATATATATATATATATATATATATATATATATATATGTATATATATATACACACACTGACATATAATATAATACATATGACATATAATGACAAACAAGCTGACGTCCCAACATGATGGAAAGTGGTAACCGTCGCCTATAAACATGAGCAGTACTATGGACATAACAGAGTATACTGTTTCGACCATGATACCCCCCATGCGTTGCCATTCCTGAGGACTCAGGTGTTATTCCTCTGTACCCTGTAAATTCACGCCATATCCCACCCTTCAAAGCGAAACACAGTTAGCATACACAACTGCTTCACGGTTGAAATACGAATGGGACAGAGGTACCCAAGCAAACGACTTTTGTACAAAGTCTCCCTCTAGTCACTTTTTGAATGTGGTTGCAAATTGAAGTATTAAAAAATATGTCACTTTTCTGACATTAAAAAGTTTCGAAAATACTTCTAGTAGCGTACATAAATCATTCAGTCGAAATTATACCTTATAAGTATATCATATAAGTATCATTTTCCAATATAACAATTAATCTACTTACAGGTTTAATATCTCTGTGCAGGAAACCCACTGAATGTATAGAGTCTATGGCTTTGAGTATTTGTAAGCCCAATCTGTAAAAAAAAAAAAACAAATATTATACCAATAAACTATTTCCTCTGTGGTATTAGTGTGGTAAGTATGTGGTAGTGTGGACATTCAAATTCGAATTCAAAATATCTTTATTCATATATGTCTATTACAGATTCTTATGTTATGTCGAATCTACCGTCAGTTCGGAATGATTTCGAGATGAGAAGAACTGACAAGGAACTCGGCTCGTATTGTTTTCAAAATTTTCAAATTTGGAAAATCATTGCAAATTTGGTTGTGTTTATATTCGTTATTGTAACGTTTTTTATAAATATTTAAGTCAAAGGAATTTATTTAACTATCCACTTTGGTATTGGCGCAGCCTATTCCGGTAGCTAGTACATCTAACTAAATGTTTATTTATTTCACAACATTTTTTTTAGTACAATGAACCATTTAAAATAATACATAGATACATCAAAGTTGCAGAGAACTGGCGCCTGAACCGGGTATCCGAAGAACCCGTATCACAACGCACCAAGACCCTTCCATGGCATGAAACATTTTATGGTAATACATACAAATGGAGACGTAAAAGTTGTTACGTGTAGCAAATACAATACGACACATGAAAATACATATACACACATCATTTATTATTCAATAAAGATAGTTGATTAGTTAATTTTTCAATATCATCAAGTCTAAGATTTGTTTTAAAAAGAAAACTTTAGAAAATACGTCCAAAATCCTTAGCTTTGGTTTAGCCAAGAGGCGCAGCGCCAGCGACCTGAGCGTGGTGGAGATGGAGAAGGCGCCGCGCGGCTGTGCGCGGCGCAGCTCGGCCAGGTTGCGGCCCTGCAGCTGCATCACCACGTAGTTGAAGCGCGCGTTGCGCCCGCAGCCGATGAACCGGCACACGTGCTCCTTGCCTGCGCCGCCACACACACACACACTGTATCACTCGCGCACACATTCTAATACACTTGTCTTTGGGGGGAAGGGATTGTTAGCAATGGAGTTTGACAGCCCCATTGCTAGCAATATGCCCTATCAGGTCAACCTCCGCGTGGTTCCCCCTGGAAACAATCGTGAACAATCGTTGAATTCGTCACGATGGGCTAACTGACTTGTTTTCATCCTCACCTATCATCCTTCACTGGTGCCCCGCCAGCGTATACAGTTAGCGCAGGCGGGGTTACCATTCCATTATCATCCATTAAAAAAAAATACACTTGTCTAACAACCATTTCTAAAATGCCATTTTTTTAAATCATCAACGCAACTGACCTGTCTTTTCATCCTCACCTATCATCTATCACTGGTGCCCCGCCAGCGTAAACCATTAGCGCAGGCGGGGTTACCATTCCATTATCATCCATTAAAAAAAAATACACTTGTCTAACAAACATTTTTAAAATGCCATTTTTTTATCTAAGCAGTTTAAAAGATCGTTATCCCGCAAGAAACCCGCCACACATACTAATCACTCACTACACACGCACGCACGCACGCACGCACGCACGCACACACCGATTCAAATTCAAATACACTTGTACTAATACTACTTTTAAATCGTAATTTTTTTTTAATCTACTACAGGGTTCAGGAAGTTATTTGTTATCTGTTGTGAACAGCCCGCAAGAAACTCAACGGTTACTCTTTTAAATCCCTGTTAACATTGTGTGTATTTATTTAAATGTACTGTGTCCAAAATTGCATGGTCGTTAAACGGATCAAGTTATTTTTTTACGAACTAATTTGAATGATATTTGGTGCATGGCTAAGATTATATTATAATTTTCGCGAAAACTACCTCAGTAAAAAAAAGCAAAGTCATGTCATGAAATAGATTGAAAAACACTGTACTATGGCATAATGTATTACCTATATATCAACTATAACAAATAAATAAATAACCTAACAACAAATGTAGACCAGTCCAGAATTGAAAGTTACCACCCACCTTGCAGCTTCTTCAGCACGGCCACCTCCATCTTGAGCACCTGCTTGGGCTGGCGCGACGACTCCACCTTGAGGGCCACCTGCTCCTGCGTGACCAGGTCGAGCCCCTCGTAGATCTCACCGAAGCCGCCGCCGCCGATCTTCTTCACCACCTGGTGAAGATGGGAGAGTTTTAGCCGGCCGCGGAAAGGCGACGACACATTTATGCTGTTCATTTCATACGATTCAGAAGTATTAATGTTTTAAGTGTATGTAAAATACTTTAATTATTTTAATTTAATATTTTTTTATTTGAATTAAAATTAATTAAATAAATTTTAAATTTAATTACTTCTTAGTATGTTTTCTTGTCATATTAATTTATAATTCCAACAAAGCCAGAGTCGAAACTAAGATTAAATGCAATTTATTTATTAATTTAAAAACAATTTGTCAAAAAGAAATTATAAACAATTATACATAATTATAATAGATTAAAACATACAAATAAACGTAATCAGTTTAAATCATCAAAAAATTTATATAAACTTAAGAAAAACTAGTTTAATGCGTCTTTTAAATCTTTCCAAAAAAAAAATTATGGTATCATGAAAGATTCTATGTTCGTTTTTTTTCATTCTCTATTTACCATCATCCAAATGGTTGGATTTTCATAATTGTAGAACAGTTTGTATGTGTATTGTATGGGTATCGCTTGTCGGCTACGAGACCAAAGTGTAGTATCGTGGGATAGTCAATACCCATTCACGATACGAGAAAGACGTCACGACCTTGACGATTTCATTTATATATTTATTTGATTTATTGATATTAGAAATTTAAACTGTAACAGTCGTTCTATCTGTCCACCCCGCGAGGTACTTGGCGTGAGGATGACATATGTAACAATTATGTTTCGGTGACATTGTTACAATGTGACAATAATTAGTACAATAATAATGAATTGTTGTATTAATAATAAATTAATTGAATATCAATACAATGCAATAGATAGGCAAGATTGCGAGCGGAGTAGTGCTACAGCCAAGTTCATACATTAGATACGGCCTACAGACGCATACGAGCTATAGAGAAATACCGCGGTGAACAGCTTTACCTTCCATCGCTCCTTAATCGTTTGTCCGGAATGCAGCTCCTCCGGGACCATGGTCTGCTCACTATTCTGTGCCTTGGGTGCCTGTAGGATATTAGTGATTACCTTTTAATATCTCCACAACCACGACCAAGATGTGGACTATCCTCGGGAGACGGATCATAAACGGTGCGGCCGCTGTCTACAATATGCCCGGTAGGAGCAAGCTTGGCGATACTATGGTAAAGTAAAGCGAATCGGTCGGCTGCATCAACTGGAGTGTAAGCAAATTATGGGTTATATAGGGGGGGGGGGGGGGGGTTATTGTGTCACTAGGTGCACGGTAATGTTATTGACAAGTCTAATTAGTCATTACCTTTAATTCCTTTTAAAGTTTCAGTTGTTAAGATGTTAAGTTTAAGTGACGTGTCCCGAGTATGAATGATTCAAATGCGATACAAAGCTATCTACATGCTATAATTATAAATGGTTTCAACACTCTCGAGTTAATTCCAAATAAAACTGCGGCCAACAGTATCCGTCTACACAAAGGAGGTTCAATTAATTTTTGTGTACACATTACATTGTTTTTTTTTTTACTAATTCTGTACCGATTTTGATTATTAATTGAAAAGTTTTACACCCGTGTAACTACTATACGAGTTATTTTTCACTACATAGTATAAAACAAATTCGATGCCTGTCTGTCTGTTCTTATGACTGCTTAGATCTTTAAAATTACGTAACGGATTTTGATGCGGTTTTCTTTTTTACTACATAGTATAAAACAAAGTGGCTGTCGCTGTCTGGCTGTCCCTATATCTGCTTAGATCTTTAAAACTACGCAACGGATTTTGATGCGGTTTTTTTTAATAGATAGAATGATTCAAGAGGAAGGTTTATATGTATAATACATGCATAATATTGTAGAGAAACACTGATAATTGTAGATGTTTCTAATTTAATGTCGTAATGTAATGGGGGCCGGCGACGCTATTTAGTATCAGCAAGGCACCCGTGCGAAGCCGGGACGGATCGCTAGTTTATGAAATAAAATCGTTTTATTTTCATTAACAGTTTTAAGCAATTGAGTCACAATTTCCTTGTCGAAATTGTCACTGTATAGGTCACTAAAGACGTATTAAATAAATAAATAAATTACAGTACCGAAGGCTATTTATGTAGGGTCGTTCAATTCGACTTTTTTTTTCTAAAACGTATATTTATATTTTTACATGTTATGTCTTCATATCCAGATAGTATTTCTCTTATTTTATTTGGAATTCACTCAAGAGTTGAAACTGCGTAGTGCAAAAATTATATTAAGGTGGTTACTAAGTGCGTGCACGGCAGCGCGCCCGGCCGAGTCTGTTATGATTACCTTCCATCGTTCTTTAACCACGTGCCCTGGCTGTAGGAGGTCTTCAGACGCCATGGTGATGTGGTGTGCGCGGCGTGACGTGTCACAGCGGGACGCCTCGCGAGAACGGTGCCCGCCGAAGTTCGGGAGGGTACGGGATCTGTTTATCATATACACTACTTTACAAGCATACATTTATGTATGTAAACTGTACAATAACAACTTCAATGTATAAAAACGAGCATTGTATGAACACTCCACGATCCTACCTATTTTTTTTTTGATTGGTGAAAATGATATGGTAACCCCGCCTGCGCTAACGGAATACGCTGGCGGAGCACCAGTGAACGGTGATCGATGAGAATGAAAACAGGCCAGTTAGCCCATCATGATGAATTCATCAGGGATTAACCATGATAGTTTCCAGGGGGAACCGCGAGGAGGTCGACCTGGTTGAGTATATTGCTAGCAATGGGAATTCTCTGTCTCCATTGCTAACAATCCCTTTCCCCCTCCTCTGGACTATTAGGATAGGGTTTATGATGAACGAAATATAAAATCCATTTACTGGCTCGATTTTTGTACAAAAACACGAAATCGAGCCTCATTTCATGGTAGACCACCAGTTCTTGATAGTATTTCATTGTCATCAGAGATATATAAGTACTTATTTCAAAATTTCAATAATTTTTTTATTTTATGCAAAATTTTGTTCAAATCCAATATTAAAAACTGGAATAAAAGTCACATGCAAGACTTGACTTATACAAACAAACTAACCGAGAAGTTAAATATATAAAAGGTGATTTTTTTTCTTTGCATAATTTACCTCAATAATGGATTAGGCTGTACCCTCGGCGAGCAGGCGGCTTCCTCACGCCTCTCTTCTCTCTGTAAAAAAAAAATAAACAAAATTAGATGACTAAAAAAAATATAATATAAATCTATATTAATCTATGTTAAAGATCCGTAAAATTGAAGTAGGTTACATGATTTAAAGAGAAAACTCATACAATTTGTTTTGGCGTACAGTCCCATCTCTCAACCATCACGGTTAGAATGATATTGGAGACGATACGAATTCTATTTAGCCTTAAGCCTGTATTTGACATTAGACCACAACTTCAGGCTCCGCAAAAAAAAACACATTTTCTACTGAAAGACTTTAGACTGAAAATATTTGAATTTAGAATGATACGCCACCACAATTGAAATTTGCTTCACAATAAGTTATTTTTTAAAACCTAGTTTTAATTGTCACTAAATAAATATGGGACCAACACTTCCGTGATAGTCCGGTCATATTAATTAAAAAAAAAAAAAAAACAATAATCAAAATTCGTACAGAATTGACGACGTAATCCGGTAAAATAACAACAATAAAAAATGATGAATTTATTTAATACAAAAATCCTTAGCTCTTAACCTTTTTTTGCATAACGGTGGAAATTTCCATCATAACATTGAATGCCCAAAAATTATTCAAAAGAACAAGTTCACTTTAAGTTGATCGTGTCTGGACACCTTTTTAATGTCCATTGCAGAAAAAAAAAACATAGCTGTCAAATTTATTTCTTTAACCATTTTTCCTTCAATTCTGAACATGAATTATATCACCTTGATTTCTTTCATCAATAAAAAAAAAATTATGCAAAGAAGGGTTAAAAATAACTTACATGCTAAGTGTCTTAAAAATACGAGTAGAGCCAATAACACAGATTAATTATTACATAAACGAAAATTATAAGTCTAAAGCGAGTAAGGCAAGTTAGAGTTATAGATGAATTGTCAACGGCCTGCTTTTAAAAATGTTTAAAAAGTACTGATTATATGACACTGTATGGTTATCCATCCTAGAAAATAAGCAGACACAGTTTCGCTTATCCTGGCTGATTTTTTTATACAACTTAGAAGCTGACAAGCTAAGCTGACAACAAACAAGCTGATGGCCCACCTGATGGAAAGTGCCATCGCCTATAAACATGAGCAGTACCATGGACATAACAGAGTATATTGTTTCGCCCATGATACCCGCCATTGAAAAATATAGGCCAATCAATAATCGATCGAAGAGCGAAGTGAACGCTACAAAACTTTAATAAGGTTAAAATCATTACTCCACATTATACCAATTACAAACGTCATCGGTCCACACGAATAACAGCAAAATTGGCGGTGATATTGGGTATGAGGCTGTATCTTTTACCAGAGGGACACTTTGTACAAAAGTCGATTGCTTGTGTACCTCTGTCCCATTCGTGTTTCAACCGTGAAGCAGCTGTGTTTGCATGGCTGTATTTTGGTTTGAAGGATGGGATATGGCGTGAAATTACTGGGTACAGAGGAATAACACCAGAGTCCTCAGGAATGGCAACGCATGGGGGGGTATCATGGGCGAAACAATATACTCTGTTATGTCCGTGGTACTACTCATGTCTATAGGCGACGATTACCACTTTCCATCAGGTGGGCCGTCAGCTTGTTTGCCATTCTAAGTTGTATATAAAAAAATACAACATAAGACCGGATTTATAAAGGATTCTAATGGGAATGATATACGGGAACTACATAGCTAGAAGCGGGCAATGCCGCGGGAAACGGCTAGTATTGTAATAATAATAATATGTTATTAAGAATTTCTTGCAATACTATCGATACCGTCAGACAAATCCGGACCCTAAAGCAGTTCCAAACTTCGATATCGGTATCAGACGCTGATCCGATATCGGGCCAATGTTTGAAATATGTTGATTTCACTGCTTTCGCATCCCACATATTCCTACAGCGATAATTATGTAAATGAGCCTTCAATGATTTAGAACTTGTGAAAATACCGTTACGCCGTAGGTGGGGTTTTAAATGGCTTCAGAACGAAAGAGATTTTAAATTTGTCTATATTTTTTGTGTGTATTTAGCATACTATCTTCGCCTGTTACTCCCGTCTCCCAGATTTTTGCGAGGAAAAAGGAAGGTAATCTCAAATTGTTTTACTTAAGGTTAACCAAACAGCCTCTTTCGGAACTCACTTGGGGTTCATGACGGCGAGGACGCGGCGCCGGAGCGGCGTCCGAGCCAGAACCCTGCGACGCGGTGTCAGCTGACGACGACGAGGACTCTGTAACCAGCAATGGTGGTATCATTAATAAATGTTTTATGTAAGAAGCAAACGAGAATGCGGCTCACCTGATGGTAAGTGACTACCGCCGCCCATGATCAACCACAACACCAGCGGCATTGCAGGTGTACTGCCGGCCTTTTAAAAAGGAATATACTCTTTTCTTGAAGGTTATGTTGTCGTATCAGTTCGGAAATACTGCTGCTGGAAGTTGATTCCAAAAAATGGTTGTGCGTGGAAGAAAGTGCCTTGAAAAATGCACGGTGGAAGACCGCCACTCGTCCAGATGATTGGGATGAAACTTTAGTGCTTCTAATATTACGAGAATTTCTGCTTATCATCAGATGAGACGTAGGTTCAATTGTCATTCGCCACGTACAAAAAAAAAAAGTTTAAATTAGAGTTGATACATTAAAGAATATAGTCACGGAATAGTAGATTAAAAACTCAACCACTGATTCATGAAGTCATGTGTTCGATTTTAACCATTTGCAGTGGATGATTCACCATGGTGTATTACCGTCTTACGTGTTTTTGCCGTAAAACAGCAATTTATGCATTATTGTTTTTCAGTCTAAAATGTAAGGAAAACTGCATCTCCGTTTCTTAAATACCCATTGGCTACTGTGACCATTTCGCTACCTCATCGTAATGGTAAAAAGAATTCACCTGATCGGTTGGACTGGTGCTGACCTTGCTGCTGGAAAGGCGAGTCTCGCTCGCACTTTGGCTCCTGTTCCCTGTAACAAAACGTGCACGTGAAAAGTGGGCCAAGTCTTATCTACCTAATTACACATCTCCTTGCCAAGTATTCTTATACTTCGACCATTTAAATTGATTTCATTAACGTAAATAATGAGGAGAAAATGGAGAATAATCTTTTGTGATAAACGATATTGCGTGCTTTGAATTTTGTCACTGAATATCTTACGTCTTTTCTTGATCTTCGAATTAGCCCTGCATCAATTTTAATTTACATCGGCTTACCGTTTAGCCTTGATACCGTACAAACAAAAGTTTACTCTCTCGTTTATAAAATTAGTATGACTAGTTGATAAGAAATTGTAAATTTTTATTATAAAATATCTCATATCCATCTACCATGTGATACGAGCCTTGAGCTTAATGCAGGAAATGCTGTTTAAGTAACAAGCAAATATGTAAAATGAATAGATACATTTATTAATTTGCCAGAACATTGTTCATACAGATATTCAATAAATAAATATGTTGATTTTATACACATAAGTATAATAAATAAGCAAATAATATTTAATACATGACGTTTATTGCTACAGACGGATCACAATACTTTTTCTTCGTTTTATACTAACACAATGTTTCCACTCAACATCAATATACAGGTCGTAAAACATGTCGCAAACAACATAATATTTAACGACCTGATATTTTGTTGAAAACGGGGAGCAAGTATTCTACTCGTATTTTGACTGATAATAAAATGTCCTCGAGGGCTCAAAAACAATATAAACTCATAATATAAACCGTTGTAAATTTTCATATTTCCATTCCTATGGTCTAAAACATGTAAAAGCGGACATAAACCAAGCGAACTAGTGTCCATTCTTTACTTGCTTTAATTTCTATTTACCACAAACGTTGCCTAAGTTGATTCTAATGGAAATACTTTTGGTTCAAGTATTTTTAACTAAGTTCTCTTAGTTTAAACTGTCTGATTATATATTCTTAGCTCTGTAACATATATATACATTTATTTGAAAAGAGTAATTACAAGTTTCCAAACTCAGTTATAGAATCACAAAAAAGAGACGATATAAAAAAAGCTTGTAGACAAAAATATTTAAACAAAGATAATTTCTATTCTATTCTGTTGTTTTTAACACCGTCTTAATAATAACAATTTAACACATTTCCAAAGTTCTGGGAAGCTATTTAGTAAATGCTGTAATAATATTGTGGGCAGCAAATTATAAAGTTTGTTGAACACTTGTCCGGCGCACTTCCGGACAGTGATTATCGAATGAGGATACAGGTTAAACACCGAACGGCCGGTGACAAATGAGAGATGAGGCGATCAATCTATACGCTCCAAATAGACAATTCCAATATCATCTACGGCCCACACAACCTGAATGATCTGGCGAGAGCTTCGATTAAGGGCTATAAGTCCTTAATCTAAGGGACAATTCGACAAATACGTCTGTTTCTTACGTGATACTTTAGTGACCAAGAACGAATCGTGACCGGCATTATATTTATTAGTGTAAATCGAGTCTTAAGAGTCAATAAATTTAGCAAAAGATTTCACTAAACAGAGACTGTACAAAAGTCGTCTGGTACGGTAGTAAAAATCAACAATAAAGTTAACCTGTGGTTTAATTCTGTACTAAATTTCGTCCAAATCCTTTCAACTATTTAGCTATTGAGTGGCAAACATTTAAACATTACATTTATAACACAAGCAAGACAGGACGATTTGCGCCAACCAACCATTGCGCTACTTATTCCATTATCTACAACATTGCCGTCGTCAAGCAGATAAACAAAACAACCTCTTAATATTCCCCCACGCAATAAAATTACCATGGCGTAGGATTATGATCCATGAATATTGATTTTAAAGTAACCCTAAACATATTGTACTTGCAACAAGTCTTGTAAGGAACCAATAATAGAGGTGGTCACATAACGTCAATGCCATATTGTGGTCATTTTGATACTGGACAAACAAGCTGACGGCCAGCCTGATGGATTCGAAATTGAGCTGGACCAAACAAATTGCTGAGATTAGTCGTTCAGTCGTAGCCACACTTCAGTACATTAACAGTTTTAAGCACTTTTTTCCTATTAAAACTAAAATTACACTTATTCAAACACTTATTCTCCCCATTATTGATTATGTTGATGTGTGTTATCCTGATCTTAACGAAGATCTTCTTAATAAATTAGATCGTCTAATCAATAGTTCTATTCGTTTCATCTTCTGTTTGCGTAAATATGATCACATATCTTCGTACAGATCTCAGTTAAAATGGCTCCCTATACGCCAACGCAGACAGTTGAGGTTGCTTTGCAACATTTTCTCTCTTCTTATTAGTCCCTTATCACCAGAATACTTGAAATGTAGATTCAAATATCTCTGTGATTCTCATACACGCGAACTTCGTTCTAACGACTCTCTTGTTCTCTCTATTCCTCTACATCGTTCTGCTTTTGTTTCCAATTCCTTTACTCTTGAGGCCTCACGACTCTGGAATGCGCTACCCATGGACATAAGACAAATTTCTAACAAATTTATATTTAAGAGAAAAGTCTACGAATATCTTTGGAAAAAACTGTGAAAGCAGTTCACCTTCATCATCATCACTTTTGATCTCTATCGTTGTTTATTTGTGTTATCGTATATAATCTATAAGTAGGTATATTTATATATGTATATTTATATTTGTATATATGTATTTTTATTACATATTTGTATATTTATGTAATATTTGTTTAATATATTCATGTATGTATATTTATATAATCTCTATTGTATGTGTTGTAATTTTTTTCACCGCATATTAAAATTTCTGTTTAGCCAAAGGTTGACTGCGAGAGAATGCTATATAGTATTAAGTCCGCCTTTTGTACCAGACATTTTTTTTGTAATGTGGTCAATAAAGCATAAATAAATAAAATAAATAAGTTATAAATATAATAGCAAGTAATTCGAAAATAAAAAAAGGAATGTTTCGTTGGTTTCGCCATTTGAAGAGGATGGATGAAAGAATTACGAAAGAGATTTATCGAGCAAGAATGAATGGAGATGTCGGTAGGGGCCGCCCTAGACGGAGGTATGTCGACCAAATAGGCGACGTGCTGAAGAAGGGCCAAATTAAAAGTACCCGTAACTGGCGAACGTGTATGAAAAGATTGATGAATGTGGAGGAAGCGAAAGAGGTTTGTTTGAATCGAAGCATTTGGCGTTCCATTGTTTCTGTCTACCCTAATGGGAGACAGGCGTGACAGATATGTATGTATATAATAATAATAAATATAATAAGTAGTTACATTAGTAAGATAATTATAATCATGCCCCGACTAGTTATTTGCTTAATAAGCAAAACTTTGAATTTTGAGTTACTACTCGAAAGACTTCCTAAAGGCAACGATACCGTTAAACTACCAATAAAAAATATATCGGTTTTTTATTTGTACTACTGTTGGACATAAGGAAGGAGTCTTTTTTTTTAACGGATGAAAATAGCATGGTATATCTGGTATACCTGCGCTATGATATACACTGGCAGGGTACCAGTGGAAGGTGAAGATGAAAAGGTAGGTCAGTTAGCCCATCGTGACGAATTCAACGATAAATTAGACTCGATAGTTTCCAGGGGGAACCGCGTGGAGGTCGACCTGATAGGTCGATATTGATAGCAATGGAGATTAACCTCCTCATTACTAACAATCCCTTCCCCCTGGAAGGAGACTGTTATAGGGTTAGGTTGAGTATTCCTTTGTTTAAACTTTTATTAAATTATATTGAAACGGACTGTAGTGATGAATACGATATGGGCTAGGTATGTGTAGGTCTAGTTCGGCAATGACCCTCGTTAGCAGCGGCCAGCGTGGGTGCGGAGCGGAATCGCCGCGGACTCAGCCGAGACACCAGATGATGTAATGTCAATTGGAGGACAAACTGGCCACCACAAATAATTAGGCTGTTATTATATATTTCTAGAATTTACTTATATATCGTCTTTATACTACTACCACAGTTTATACTAATATAAATACGTAAAGAACCGTGTCCCGAATAGTATGGATTCTGGGCCATGACGAGTCCCGAAGTAGCTTATATATCATTAGATAGTGCATCATCTATATCGATAGAATATATCGTTCTGGGGGGAAAGGGATTGTTAGAAATGGAGACTAAGAATCCCATTGCTAGCAATATACCCAACCAGGTCGACCTCCTCGCGGTTCTCCCTGGAAACTATCATGGTTAATTCCTGATGAATTCATCATGATGTGCTAACTGGCCTGTTTTCATTCTCATCTATCACCCTTCACTGGTGCTCCGCCAGCGTATCCCGTTAGCGCAGGCGGGGTTACCATACCATTTTCATCCATCAAAATAATATATATAAAAAAATATATGTGAAAATATCGCCTATAATTTATCTGTGAAATATTACAGGGCACTGTAATTCTCTTTGCAACCAGAGCATCTCCTCGCGGTGACGGTAGTGACTGTACTCGTGAAGCTCTAACCGTTAGTATGCGATTCATCAATGGACGCATCGTGGCCCAATAGGGACATGGTTCTTTGTGAGAATGTATGGTATGGATGCATATATGTATATATATGAATTTTAAGCAAAAAACTGCTGAACACTGAACGAAATTTACTACACGTAAGTCATATTTTAACTTATTACATACAATAACAATTATTGTATACCTCCACCCACCGAGCAAACTTCTTGTCTCAATCTTTTACCATTTGGGCCATCAACCTTTGGAATTCACTGCCAATTGATATCAAAAAGTCCCTACCCAAATTTTCCTTCGAAAAGTACCTTCGTGAACTGAATTGAAGTAATCTTCAATTTATCACAACAATGAAAAGCCTCAATCTGTACTATTATATAATTAGTTATGTTTTATATATTTATTAATTTAATATGTACTATGTATAGTTATTTATATATGTATTGTATCTGATTTATGTATGTATATTTTTTATAAGTATATTATTCTATATGTT